TGTAGTAGAAGTGTGAGAAGCTCCCACTGATGCCCACGGCCTGCAGGTTTAGGTTAAGGGTCTCTCCAACTTTAAGAGGTCGAGGATTCTGCCACCCAATGGACAGAAACCCAGAGCTTCTGGACAGGGGGGCTTTCACGGTGAGACGGCCTACAGCAGGGTGTGGGGTGCCTGCAGACACCTGAAGAGAGGTCAGGGGTCGCAGGGTCAATGGAAAGGGCCCAGGCACCCAGCTTCCCCCGCTCCACCTGCCAGCCTGGGAAGCTTCTCTCCCAGCCCACCCACTCCCGTGAGAGTGGGGTCCTACTGAGAGCTGCACTTCTGAGATGGTCAGAGGAACACCAATGGAAACAATGACTTGGCCGCTCCCATCTGTGTTCCGTTCAAAATCCTCGTTTTTAGAAGTCGATCCAGAAAACAACTTAGCAGACACTTTGACGGGGATGCCAGAGGCTGGGGAGCCTGACATGTCACGGACCCGGGCCTAGGTAAACAGGGAGGGGCAGAGGGAAGAGTTCAGTCAGTGGGACGCTGTGCCCTCCTGTCCTCCACTCCCTGCCCCCACTGCTCATCCTCCCCCTTCCAGAAGAAACCTGCAGCAGGAAGGGGACCCCAGGTATAAGCTGCTGCTTGGTTTTGCTTAGATCCAAGGAGAAGGGAGATGACACGAAACGCCAGGACATGAGCTCTGCCTCCTCCAACTCTCCTCCTGCAAGATACAGTGTGGAGAAAGGTGGACACAGAGACCTGGGCAGAGAGGAAAAGGAGCGCTGTGGGCGGTGAAGGGGTGCTCTAATGTTTCCCTCCACCAAGGTTGAACTTTTCAGGGTCAAGCTGCCTCCTACTCATCTCTATGTTTCCTGAGGCCAACACAGGAAACAGCACACAGACGGTGTATAACACACTTCTGCTGATAGATGTATGGATGACAGATACATGGATGGATGGATAGATGGATAGATGGATGAGATGGGTGGATGGCTGGCTGGATAGATGGATTGATGGATGGATGGATAGGTGGATAGATGGATGGATGGAGGAATGTGTTTTGGACAGAGGGATAGATGGAGGGATGCGTAGATGGATGCGTGGAAAAGAATATTTTGAGACAGTAAGAAGGTCATCTTTCCCAGAAACAGCTCAGAAATGCAGTTGTAGAGAGAGTCCTCTGGGTCTTTCCTAACTTTGTGTCCCAGCTGAGGGGAAGCTGGATGGCGTTGGTGCTAGAGAACGGAGGTCAGCTCGGAGGTCAGAGGTGAGGGCCCAGGGTTAAAATCAGGGAAAGTCACTCACCTGGAGACTCAATAACAGCTGCCGCGACATAGAGGCGCAGCCCTGGGAGGTCATTAATGCTAATATGAAGCTTATCCAGCACACCCTGAAACTCAGCCTTTTGGAGGGAAATTTGGCACTGGCCATCCACCAGCTGGGGCAAAGAAGAAGACAGGACAGAGGATGAGACTCGAGTCTCCCACCTCACCTCTTCATGCTGCCTCAACTCTCCTCACCCACCTCACGCACCTCAACCCTCCTTCCTACCTTGGTCTGACTCTCCAGGCCCCGCAGGAAAGTCTTTTCACCGTCCTCACCCAGGAGCCCAAAGCGCACATATGCCACCCCCTGCACTGGCTTCCCGTAGATGTACCTGCCACCAAGGAGAGATTCAGAAGAGGGGCTGAGGGCCAGGGCGAAGGAGGGAAGTGGGGTTCCATTGCACGTTCACACTGCATGGGGCGTCCTGGCACCAGGCCCAGTGTGAGGGACCATGAGCAAGTGGGAGTTACCTGGCCTGGATGATCACTTGGATGTCACTAAGAAAGCCAGGCGTTGTCAGGATGTATGGGTTTTCAGGGATGATCTTCACCTCAAAGTTGGGAAGAACTGACCCAGGGCAAAGGGAGATCAGACTCTCGTGAAAGGACCCTTAAGATATTTCCCTCCCCTCGGGGCTGTGGTAGCCGTGTCTCCCTTCCCTGACCCTGCACCCCCCACCTCGGCTCCACCCCTTCCTCCTAGCAGAAAAGGGGTGCTTGTCCCTCTCATCTCCAGCTCTCACCATATTTCTTCACCTCAAACTGGGTGCTGCTATTAGAATCCAGGCTGTCTGAGAAACGGGCTGAGATTTTCCATGTTCCTGGCCTGAGGATGGACAAGGGAGAGACTCAGCCCACTTGTGCAAGAAGCCCACTGACAACCGCTGACCCAGCTCCCTAGGAAGAGACTATGGGGTGACAGGGGCTGAAGGAGCTCAGGACTGGTCCATGTGCTCTAGTTGGCCAGCTGGGGGAAGTGGGAGTTAGAGAAGTGTCAGTGGGGGTAGTCTGTGAGAGAGATGCTCACACTGAGATGTCTGGGATCAAAAAGTTGTCCTGGAATATGGAGGAGGGAGCAACCACTTCCCTTTTCTGCACGCGGAAGCCTTGAGAGTTCTGCAATGGGAGTGAAGCAGTCACGGTCAGAAGCCAGTTCAGCAGCCTTGGCCCATTAGGAAGGTCAGAGGTCGGGGGCTCACCTCCACCGTAACCGTGAGGATGTCAGTGGCCGGGCGCATCTTCTGATCCAGAGCAAAGACTCGGTAGCGAACTGGAAATGGAGAATGAGGAGGTGAGCAGGAGCCATGGGAGGGTGGGCCCTGGGTCCCCAACCCCCTCCCAGAAAGCAAAGGGAAGGAGAACAAATGTTTGCAAAGCAGCCTTCCTGTGAGGGGCTTCATGTACCTCACTCAAGTGACTGGGAAGGCATGAAAGGTGGAGGCCCTCGCACCGAGACTCACCCCGCTGGCCAGGGTTATAAACGGGCTGGTCAGTCTGCAGAAAGAGGTGCCCACGGCGAGAGGAGAGCAGCAGGTTGACACCCTGCATGTCTGTCTGTTTGGACAGAGAGTCCCTTAGCCATGATGACTGCACCATCAGCTGGACCTTGGGGGCTCCGCGGAGGAGATGGAGGCGACAGATCCTGGCCCGTTCCTGCGGAATCTGTGAGGAGAGGGACAGGAAGAGGGTCAGAGACAGAGCAGAAGGGAAAAGACAGACTAAAAGACAAAGTACCACAGGGGTGGGAGGGAGGAAGGGAGCAGGGGGATGAAAAGACAAAGATGTTTCCAAGAAGACAGAGGAGAACAGAAGGGGAGGCCCTGGTTGGCAACAGGAGGGAGTGGGGCCATTACCGGGAGGTTGAGGAGTATGAAGTCTCTGTCTGAGCTGAGGCTGAAATCCACCTTCGGGGAGCAGAGCTCATTAACGTGGGATGGGTTCCTCAGGAATACGGATCCTCTCACCACCTGTCCTGAAGGAGCATCCTGGAGTTTCACAGCCACAGACAGGGGGACCCCTATGCGAACCACAGAAGGAGAAAACAGGAGCAACCTGGGAAGAACAGGTGCGAGTCAGCAGCCAGCCTCCACCCCTCCCCCCAAATCAGGACCCTCTGAGCCCACTCTCCCCTCGCCAGCCTTGGCCCTGTTCAAGCTGTCCGCATCCTGCCTCCAGGACCTGGGCTTCTGCAGAGACAAGGCGAAGAAGCCAGATGCCCAGATCAGACCCCAGAGGAGCCTCATGGCTGGAGGACCCGAGGGGTTCAGACCCTCCTGCCTGCCTGCTCCTTTCTGGTTAATGCAGGGCTTGGAGCAGAGTTTTGACTCTGGACCTTGCTCCTCCCCTGGCCCAGATAAGCCGGGAAACCACGTGACAACCAAGAACTGCAACTGGCCCCAGACCCAGAACTGGGACGGGGGCTTCCCAGAAGCCTCAATCTCTTGAGGGAATCTGAGGAAGTCATGGCCTGGAGAGAGACTGAGTCCTTCCCTGTTAACCTCTCTCATTCCAATGCCCCGCTACCAGCACTACTGGTTGGGTCTGGGTGCCTGTGTGTATATAGCATGGACACACATACATCTGCCCAGGAGGGCCCCACGTGGCTCAGCAAATGGTTCAGACACATGGCTTCGTTGGTCCCAGAAAACAAGATACTAAGAAAACTGTCTCTTACTGCCCGTGTATGCATGCTCGGTTGCTCCAGTCATGTCCAACTCTGTGGCATGAGGTCTGTAGCCCACCAGGCTCCTCTGTCTATGGAATTTTCCCAGGAAGAATACTGGAGTCGGTTGCCACTTCCTCCTCTAGGGGATCTTCCTGACCCAGTCTCCTCAACAGGCAGATGGATTCCTTACCACTGAGCCACCTGGGAAACCTGTCTCTTACAATAACCCCCACAAAACCTGAACTACATCAGCTTGTTGCTTTTTGTAGGCTCTAACAGAAATTCTGTTGTTTGGGAGATCAGAAACATCCTCACCCTCCCTCAGGGGATACTGACCTTAGTGTCGCTTGTTCCTACCTGATCAAAAAGGCAAAGCTCAGATCCCACTTTGGCTTTACTTCTGCCCCTAAACGAGGTGCCCAAACTCACATGTCTCATGAAACAAAAGACATCCAGAAAACATCACAGGCAAGAGTATTTTATTTGTCAGTTTCAATCAAAATAAGGAGAAGAACTCTGCAACTTCCACAGCTTCCTTAGAGACCCCTCCTTCCTACCCCAAACAGAATAATGGCAGCACCCTCCTGCATGAAAGACAGCAGTCATGGCCTTGGCAAGGCTTTTGGCTCCACTTCCGTGAAAGGTCAGAGAAGCACTGCCCAAAACCCTTGACCAGGACACAGCCCAGGTCAACAGCAGCAGTCACATCTGACGCTCTACACAGCAGCAAGCCCAGCACTCAACCTGGCTCCCAAACTTTCCCAAGGTGACCCTGCCTCAGTCTGGGCAGGGCAGCCTGTTGAGAACACAGTACAACGAGGCAGGCCTCTGGAATCAGTGGGTTTAAGTGGAGAGAGCCAGCCTGAAGACTCTGGGTTCACACCCACCCTGGCTTCTCCCAGGCCCATAAACAGGCTCTGGCTGAACTGACCAAGAAGTTGGGGGCTTTGGAAGAGCCCGAGGTGACTGGCCAGCTTGTCGACCTGCCTGAGTATTACAGCTGGGGGGAGGAACTGACTGAGACCCGGAGCCAGATCCAGGTGAGCGCCTGTGAGTGTTGGGGGCCAGGTGATGGATGGGGAGGAAGAGACTGGGACGTTCTGGGTACACCTGAACCTCGTCCCAGCATCTCTGTGACACTTCTTATCCCCTTTCTTCTTGTCTCTGCTCTTCAGCACCACATCATAGAGTCTGAATGGGCTGAAATCTCTCTCAGCGGGAAGGGTGGTGGTTGTGAAGAATCAGGAGCATCACAACGCACTGGGTGTGATCCTTCAGGTGAGGGCGATGGGAATCCAGACTCCAAGGCCAGAGGGAGCAGCCAGCTCCATCTCCATCTTCCCCACTTGGCGAGGAGCCAGTTGTACTCGGCAGTGCCCTCATTTTTCCCTCGAGCCCTCCTTTCCTTCCCATCCCTACCACTTCATGCTCATCTCCTCATCCTCCCCCCAAGCCCTGCCCCCGAAGTCTGCTCCGATTGCTTGACTTGGTTACCAGTCTGTATGGCCGCCCCATGCTCCCTGCCTGGAGTGGGGGATCTGGTCTCTTCTTGGATGTCCGCTCCTCACCCTGGCCTGGCCTGGCCTCCCCACCTCTCCTAGGTCTCTTCCAACTCCACCAGCAGGGTATTCACAGCCCTGGTCTTGTGTGACAGTCCCGTGTCTGAGGACCCACGGGAGAGGGGGCCAGCCTCCCCAGACGTGCCCTACCCAGACGACCTCGTGGGATTCAAGCTGTTCCTGCCTGAAGGTGAGAGTGGACGGATGCCTGGGCTCTTGCCAACAGCTCAGCTGAGGTGTCTGGTCTGACCCTGCTCTCCCCTTTTCTCAGGGCCCTGTGACCACACTGTGGCCAAGCTCCAGCCAGGAGACTTGGCCGCCATCACCACCAAGGTCCTCTGGCTGAATGGGGACAAGATCATGGAGGACTTCAGCAAGTGGCAGCAACCAAAATTCAAGTCAGAGATGCTGGGGAGGGACCATGTGGGGGTGGTGGGAGGTGTGGTCGGGGAGGCTCCCCCAGCCCAAGAGGGGCTCTGCAGGAAGAGAAGCCTCTGCCTCAGGTCTAAGGCCAGCTCCATCCTCAGGAAGGATCCGCCCTCTGCGGCCGTGACCACTGCTGTCCAGGAATTGCTACGACTGGCTCAGGCGCACCCCACAGGACCCCCCACCCTCGACCCTGTCAATGACCTGCAGCTCAAGGATGTGTCTGGTCGAGGGGGGGCTCCGGGCCCGGAAGCTGGAGGAGCTGATCCGGGGGGCTCAGTGTGTGCACAGTCCCCGTTTCCCTGCCCAGGTGGGTCCCTCGATGTGAGCTTCCCTGCTGGGAGGGACGGCTTTCCCTCTCATCCCCTGCAGACTGGCCGCCCCTGTCCCAACCCTGGTCCTCAGCTCCCCTGCTGAGGTCAGGGAGGAGGCTCAGGAGTCCCTGCCCTTGCCTCCTTGCAGTACCTGAAGCTGCGGGAGCGAATGCAGATCCAGAAAGAGATGGAGTGGCTGTGCTTCCTGCTGTCTGACCAGTCGCTGCTACTGCTACCAGCGAGTAGAGATGGGGGGGCGGGGCTGGGCTGGGGGTCTGGCGGGGAAGCCTTCCGCCAGCTCCCAACACCCACTATCCTTGCAGGTGCTCCAAATCCTGGGGTATGTGGACGAGGCGGGCACTGTAAAGCTGGCCGGGTGGGTGGCCTGCACCATGAGCAGCCATGAGCTGCTCCTCACCAAGGCCAGTACCCGGAGCTACTCCTTTCAGAACTCCTGGGCCAGTGGGCACATACCTCGATGCGACTCGGCCTCGCCTACCACGTGCACGACCTCACTGGGGCCAGCTGGTGAACTGGTGAATCTTGCGCCCCAGCCTCTGGAAGATGACAGAGCAATGACCTCAGGTTGGATTTCCTCCCTCCTTGTGCTTCCTTCATAAACAAAGCCCAGCCCCTCTCCTGTCTTCTGGAACCTGGGAACATTCCTGGCCAAGTTCTGAGTTCTCCAGAACTCAGGAACCCAGACCCAGCCTTCTCTTTTTCTTGCACAGTGTCTCTACCACTTCTGGAACCCTCCTCCGCCTGCCAGAGACCTGGGGACTCTGCTCGTCATTGCACACCTCCCCAGGGTGGGGATTGAGGGGCCCAGGAGGGCTGCCCACCCTGGATGAGGCAGGGTCACCTTGGGAAGGCTTGGGAGCCAGGATGATTGCTGGGCTTGCTGCTGTGCCGAGGGTCAGATGTGACTGCCACTGTTTACCTGGGCTGTGTCCCAGTGGAGGGGTTTGAGCAGTGCTTCTCTGCCCTTTCATGGAAGAGGAGCCAGAAACCTTGCCAAGACCATGGCTGCTGTCCTTCATGCAGCAAGGTTCTGCCACTATTCTGTCTGGGGTAGGAAGGAGGGGCCTCAGGTGCTGTGGAGGTTGGACAGAGTTCTCCATATTTTGGTTGAAATTGACAAAGTTCTTCTGCCTGTGATGTTTTGTGGATGTCTTTTGTTTCATGAGACAAGTGAGTTCGGGCACCTCGTTTAGGGGCAGAGGTAAAGCCAAAGTGTGACCTGAGCTTTACCTTGTTGATCAGAGAGGAACAAGGGACACTGAGGTCAGTTTCCTCTGTGGGACGACGACGATGTGTCTAATCTCCTAAATGATACAATTTCTAAATGATTGATTACAATATCCTAAATGATACAATTAGAGCCTATAAAAAGCAAAAAGCTAGTGTAGTTCAGTTTTTATGGGAGTTAGTGTAAGAGACAGGTTTCCCAGGTGACTCAGTGGTAAAGAATCCACCTGCCAGTTCAGGAGACTGGGTTAGAAAGGAGAAATGGCAACCCACTCCAGAATTCTTCCCGGGAAAATTCCATAGACAGAGAAGCCTGGTGGGCTACAGTCCCTGGCATCACAAAGAGTTGGACATGACTGAAGTGACTGAGCATGCATGCACGGGCAGTAAGAGACAGTTTTCTTAGTATCTTGTTTTCTGGGACCAACGAAGGAGCCATGTGTCTGAGCCACTTATGAGCCACGTGGGGCCCTCCTGGGCAGATGTATGTGTGTCCATGCTATATACACACAGGCACCCAGACCCAACCAGTAGTGCTGGTAGCGGGGCATTGGAATGAGAGGGGTTAACAGGGAAGGACTCAGTCTCTCTCCAGGCCATGATTTCCTCAGATTCCCTCAAGAGATTGAGGCTTCTGGGAAGCCCCCGTCCCAGTTCTGGGTCTGGGGCCAGTTGCAGTTCTTAGTTGTCACGTGGTTTCCTGGCCTATCTGGGCCAGGGGAGGAGCAAGGTCCAGAGTCAAAACTCTGCTCCAAGCCCTGCATTAACCAGAAAGGAGCAGGCAGGCAGGAGGGTCTGAACCCCTCGGGTCCTCCAGCCATGAGGCTCCTCTGGGGTCTGATCTGGGCATCTGGCTTCTTCGCCTTGTCTCTGCAGAAGCCCAGGTCCTGGAGGCAGGATGCGGACAGCTTGAACAGGGCCAAGGCTGGCGAGGGGAGAGTGGGCTCAGAGGGTCCTGATTTGGGGGGAGGGGTGGAGGCTGGCTGCTGACTCGCACCTGTTCTTCCCAGGTTGCTCCTGTTTTCTCCTTCTGTGGTTCGCATAGGGGTCCCCCTGTCTGTGGCCGTGAAACTCCAGGATGCTCCTTCAGGACAGGTGGTGAGAGGATCCGTGTTCCTGAGGAACCCATCCCACGTTAATGAGCTCTGCTCCCCGAAGTTGGATTTAAGCCTCAGCGCAGACTTCATACTCCTCAACCTCCCGGTAATGGCCCCACTCCCTCCTGTTGCCAACCAGGGCCTCCCCTTCTGTTCTCTGTCTTCTTGGAAACACCTTTGTCTTCTCATCCCCCTGCTCCCTTCCTCCCTCCCACCCCTGTGGTACTTTGTCTTTTAGTCTGTCTTTTCCCTTCTGCTCTGTCTCTGACCCACTCCCTGTCCCTCTCCTCACAGATCCCCCAGGAACGGGCCAGGATCTGTCGCCTCCATCTCCTCCGCGGAGCCCCCGAGGTCCAGCTGATGGTGCAGTCATCATGGCTAAGGGACTCTCTGTCCAAACAGACAGACATGCAGGGTGTCAACCTGCTGTTCTCCTCTCGCCTTGGGCACCTCTTTCTGCAGACTGACCAGCCCGTTTATAACCCTGGCCAGCGGGGTGAGTCTCGGTGCCAGGACCTCCACCTTTCATGCCTTCCAGTCACTTGAGTGAGGTAACCTGAAGCCCCTCACAGGAAGGCTGCTTTGCAAACATTTGTTCTCCTTCCATTCACTTTCTGGGAGGGGGTCAGGGGTCCAGGGCTCACCCTCTCGTGGCTTCTGCTGACCTCCTCATCCTATATTTCCAGTTCTCTACCGAGTCTTTGCTCTGGATCAGAAGATGCACCTGGCCACTGACATCCTCATGGTTACGGTGGAGGTGAGCCCCCGACCTCTGACCTTCCTAATGGGCCAGGGCTGCTGAACTGGCTTCTGATGTGACTGCCTCACTCCCATTGCAGAACTCTCAAGGCTTCCGCGTGCAGAAAAGGGAAGTGGTTGCTCCCTCCTCCATCTTCCAGGACAACTTTGTGATCCCAGACATCTCAGAGTGAGCATCTCCTCCCGGAGACCCACCAAAACCTCCCCTGAGCTGTTCACCTACAGCACATTGTCCAATCCTAAGCTTCCGCAGCCCCTGGTTCACCCTCCAGTCTCCTCCTAGGGAGTTTGGTGACTGGCTATCCGCAGACCTCTCACACCAGTGGACTGAATCTCTCCTTTGTCTATCCTCAGGCCAGTGACGTGAAAAATTTCAGCCCAATTTTCTCACAGCCTGGATTCCAATAGCAGCACCCAGTTTGAGGTGAAGAAATATGGTGAGAGCTAGAGACATGAGGGACAAGCACCCCTTTTCTGCTAGGAGGAAGGGGTGGAGCAGAAGTGGGGGTGCAGGGCCAGGGAAGGGAGACGCGGCTACCACAGCCCTGAGGGGAGGGAAATATTTTAAGGGTCCTTTCACGAGAGTCTGATCTGCCCTCCCTTTGCCCTGGGTCAGTTCTTCCCAACTTTGAGGTGAAGATCATTCCTGAAAACCCCTGCATCCTGACGACACCTGGCTTTCTTAGTGACATCCAAGTGATCATCCAGGCCAGGTAACTCCCACTTGCTCATGGTCCCTCACACTGGGCCTGGTGCCAGGATGCCCCATGCAGTGTGAACGTGCTATGGAACCCCACTTCCCTCCTTCGCCCTGGCCCTCAGCCCCTCTTCTGAATCTCTCCTTGGTGGCAGGTACATCTACGGGAAGCCAGTGCAGGGGGTGGCATATGTGCGCTTTGGGCTCCTGGGTGAGGATGGCGAAAAGACTTTCCTGCGGGGCCTGGAGAGTCAGACCAAGGTAGGAAGGAGGGTTGAGGTGCGTGAGGTGGGTGAGGAGAGTGAGGCAGCATGAGGAGGTGAGGTGGGAGACTCGAGTCTCATCCTCTGTCCTGTCTTCTTCTTTGCCCCAGCTGGTGGATGGCCAGTGCCAAATTTCCCTCCAAAAGGCTGAGTTTCAGGGTGTGCTAGAGAAGCTTCATATTAGCATTAATGACCTCCCAGGACTGTGCCTCTATATCGCGGCAGCTGTTATTGAGTCTCCAGGTGAGTGGCCTCCCCTGACTTTAACCCTGGACCCTCACCTCTGACCTCCGAGTTGACCCTCTGTTCTCTAGCACCAACACCACCCAGCTTCTCCTCAACTCAGCCCCAAAGCCAGGAACAACCCAGAAGATTGTCTTCTACAACTTCATTTCTGGGCTTTTTCTGGGGAAGGGCAATCTTCCACCATCTCCATGTTGTTGTTTTCACCCACCCATCCACCCATCCTTCCATCCCCCATCCATCCATCCATTACCCAACCATCCACCTATCCATCCATTTGTCCATTCACCCATCCATCCATCCATCCACCCACCATCCGCCTGTCCAGCTGTTCATTCACCCATACATTTACTTATCCACCTATCAATCTGTCCATCCATCCACCAAACATCTATCCATCCACACAAACATCTGTGGATCCACCCATCCATCCATCTACTTGACAAACCATTTATCCTTCCACCTATGTCTCGATCCATCCATCGAACCATCCATCCCGTCTATGTCGACCTCAAAACACACAGAGATGAATAGACAATGGTTTCTGCCCTGAAGAGTTCTGCCTTGGTGGAGGGAAACACTAGAGCTCCCTCTCCCCGTCCCCAGCCATCCTTTTCCTCTGTTCCCAGGTCTCCGTGTCCACTGCTCTCCACCCTGATCTTTTTTTTTTTTTTTTCCACCCTGTATCTTGCAGGAAGAAAGATGAAGGAGCAGAGCTCACATCCTCGCATTTCGTGTCATCTCCTTTCTCCTTGTATCTAAGCAAAACCAAGCAGCAGCTTATACCTGGGGTCCCCTTCCTGCTGCAGGTTTCTTCTGGAAGGGGGAGGATGAGCAGTGGGGATAGGGACTGGAGGACAGGAGGGCGCAGCATCCCACTGACTGAACTCTTCCCTCTGCCCCTCCCTGTTTATCTAGGCCCTGGTCTGTGACATGTCAGGCTCCCCAGCCTCTGGCATCCCCGTCAAAGTGTCTGCTAAGTTGTTTTCTGGATCGACTTCTAAAAACGAAGACTTTGAACGGAACACAGATGGGAGCGGCCAAGTCATTGTTTCCATTGGTGTTCCTCCGACCATCTCAGAAGTGCAGCTCTCAGTAGGACCCCACTCTCACGGGAGTGGGTGGGCTGGGAGAGAAGCTTCCCAGGCTGGCAGGTAGAGGGGGGAAGCTGGGTGCCTGGGCCCTTTCCATTGACCCTGCGACCCCTGACCTCTCTTCAGGTGTCTGCAGGCTCCCCACACCCTGCTGTAGGCCGTCTCACCGTGAAAGCCCCCCTGTCCAGAAGCTCTGGGTTTCTGTCCATTGAGTGGCAGAATCCTCGACCTCTTAAAGTTGGAGAGACCCTTAACCTAAACCTGCAGGCCGTGGGCATCAGTGGGAGCTTCTCACACTTCTACTACATGGTGCGCATGACTGGGCTACAGGGGAGGACAGGGGTGGGAGGGTCTCAAGCAGGAAGGAGCCCTCAGGGTGGGTGGTGGTCTCAGGGCTGAGGATGGGCAGTGAGGAGCACCCTGCTCTCCCCCAGATCCTGTCCCGGGGCCAGATCGTGTCTGTCCATCGAGAGCCCAGGAGACACCTGACCTCCATCTCCGTGTTTGTGGACCATCACCTGGTGCCCTACTTCCACCTCATGGCCTTCTACTATCATGTGGGTGTCCCGGTGGCCAACTCCCTGCGAGTGGATGTCCAGGCTGGAACCTGTGAGGGGAAGGTAATTGGCATCGGAGGAGATGGTGTGTGTGCGTGTGCTGAGAGGATTAAGAGAGAAGACTGGATGACTGCAAATGGGGTGATTTAGTTTGGGGTGCACTGAGGATGCATAAGACTGAAAGAATTCTCCCCACCCTAACTGCCCCCCCACCTGCCACCTCTGCCAGCTGGAGCTGAACGTGGACAGTTCCAAGGCGTATCGTCCTGGGGACACTGTAAAACTCACCCTGCAAACAGAGTCTCGAGCCCTGGTGGCCCTGGGAGCTGTGGACACGGCACTGTATGCTGTGGGTGGCAAGTCCCACAAACCCCTCGACATGGTCAAGGTTGGTCAAGTCCTCTCTCTGATCCTCCCTTCCCTCCGAGGCTCATCCTCCTGCTGCCCGAAGCCCATGCCAGCCACTAGAACTCACTCAGCTGGACTGCTCCCTATCCTCCCTCGAGCCGTGGCCCTGGTGGCCTCTGTTTCCACTCTTTGTGTCTCTCTCGTACTTGTTTGGACCCTGCCCTCTCACCTGCAGCTGAGTTTGCGATCGTGGCCACAGTCCACAGGCCACAGCCACTCTTGTCTCTGCAGCATCTTTGCCTTTTCTCGCCAGGTCTTCAAAGCTATGAACAGCTATAACCTTGGCTGTGGTCCTGGTGGAGGAGATAGTGCCCCACAAGTGTTCAAGGCAGCTGGTCTGGCCTTTTCTGATGGTGACCATCGGACTGAAATCAGAAAAAGTGAGGACAGAGGAGGAAGGGGAGTGGGTAGTGGGAAGAAAAAGAAGAAGGCGTGTTCCATGAATTCCACATGCACCTCCGCCTGCCGCACTCTGTCCGCTGCTTTGAGCAGCTCTCTACCAGTCCTCTACAACTACCTGGATAGAGATCTGACCGTGAGGCCCCTTGGGGGCTGAGCACACGGTGGTGGAGGGGATGGGGCAGGTAAGCAGTGGGGAGCCTGACTAGGCTGGGACTCTGGCCCGCCCTGTCTTCCTGCCCCCAGGTGAGCGTCCACATGTCCCCAGTGGAGGGGCTGTGCCTGGCCGGGGGCGGAGGGCTCGCCCAGCAGGTGCAGGTGCCCGCAGGTTCTGCCCGGCCCGTTGGCTCCTCTGTGGTGCCCATCACAGCTGCTGCCGTGTCCCTGAAGGTGGTGGCTCGAGGATCCTTAGATTTCCCTGTGGGGGATGCAATATCTAAGATTCTACATGTCGAGGTGAATGGAACCCCCCTGAGTCTAGGTCCCCAGCTCCCAGAATCACCCCCTACTCTGACCCTCTCTCTGCATGAGGCCTGAGGCCACCCCCAAACTCACCACTTTGGTTCATTTGCATCTTCCACAATTCTGGCCCGACTGTGTTCCTGAAGTTCCAACTCCGGGTCCTGAGGAGTATACACTGGGAGGGCCAGGCTGTAGCCTGTGTGGTCTCTCACAGCTACGTTTCCTCTCCACAGAGAGAAGGGGCCATTCACAGGGAGGAGATGGTCTATGAACTCAACCCCCTGGGTGAGTGACCTCCACTTACAGACATCAGTGTCCTGGGGGGTTGTGGGGGGCAGAGGGTGTGGATAGCAGGACAGACCGCTGACTCCCCTCATCTTCCCAGACCCCCGAGGCCGGACCTTGGAAATTCCTGGCAACTCTGATCCCAATATTATCCCTGAAGGAGATTTCAAGAGTGTCGTCAGAGTCACAGGTGGGAGTGTCCTACAGTCCGTTCCTGGTGGTCGCCCTTGGTTTCATGTGAAACCTGGGCGCTTCTGTTTGATCCCGAGACTCCATGACCCTCTGACCCTGGCCCCCAGATCTGCACTCTGACCCTCCATCCTGTCCCTCCCCATAGCCTCGGATCCGCTGGAAGCTTTGGGCTCTGAGGGGGCCTTGTCACCAGGAGGCGTGGCCTCCCTCCTGAGGCTTCCCCAAGGCTGCGGGGAACAAACCATGACCCTGTTGGCTCCAACACTGGCTGCTTCCCGCTACCTGGACAAGACCGAGCAGTGGAGCATGCTGCCCCCTGAGACCAAGGACCGCGCCGTGGATCTCATCCAGAAAGGTTCTGAGTGCAGCGGCAAGCAGGAGTGGGGGCCAGGAGAGGGCAGTTAATGGAAGCTGGGTGGCCCAGGTGGCCAGAACAGGGAAAAGAGATGTGGTCCCCAGTGGAAATGTGGAGCCTTGCCACAGCAGTGGGGGAGTCGGTGTGACCTCAGTTGCCTCTCCTCTCCAAGGCTACATGCGGATCCAGGAGTTTCGAAAAAGAGATGGTTCCTATGGGGCTTGGTTACATCGGGACAGTAGCACCTGGTGAGTTTGGGGGAGGGTCCTGGGTGTGTGGGAGGGGCCAGGGCTGGTGGGGGCAGAGCCAGCTATTATGGCAGGGCAAATAGCTAGGAGCCACCAGGAGTGGGGCCCTCCCCCTTATAGGGACCAGTGGCTATCCCAAGCCATGCCTTCCTCCCCTCTAGGCTCACGGCCTTTGTGCTGAAGATACTGAGCTTGGCCCAGGATCAGGTAGGCGGCTCTCCAGAAAAGCTGCAGGAGACGGCCATGTGGCTGCTGTCGCAGCAACAGGATGATGGCTCATTCCACGACCCCTGTCCTGTTATCCACAGGGAGATGCAGGTATGGGGCTGGGAGGCTGGGCCAAGGGCACAGGAGGGATGAGTCGCCCTGCCCCTCCACACTCGTGGTTGGTGCCTCCTTTTCTCCCCACTTCAACCAGGGAGGCTTAGTGGGAAGCAATGAGACTGTGGCGCTCACAGCCTTCGTGGTCATCGCCCTTCACCACGGGCTGGCAGTCTTCCCAGACAAGAATTCAGAGCAGTTGAGGAGAGTGGTAAGGCACTCTCGTGTTAGCCATTTGCTGATCCCCTTTATCCTTAGGAGCCCAGTCTACAGACCTTCGCCTCCCACTTTCTTCCAGGAAAATTCCATCTCAAGAGCAAACACCTTCTTGGGGGCGAAAGAAACTTCTGGGCTCCTGGGCTCCCATGCCTCCGCCATCACGGCCTATGCCCTGTCGCTGACTGAGGCCCCCAAGGACCTGCAGAGTGTTGCCCACAACAACCTCATGGCCATGGCCCAGGACATTGGTGGTGAGGGGGTCCTGGCAGTGAACCTGGGGCTTGGGAGAGCTTGAGACCCCTGAGTGTGTCCAAAGGGAGAAACGGAACGAATGGAGGCCCTCGGAGGGAATCAGAGCAGAGGCAGGGGTGACTGGGAAATCAGGAGAGACTAAAGGGGCAGCGTCAAAGGGCCAGATGACTAAGATCCTCCCCCGTTCACCTGTGGGTCTCCTTTCACTCCAGATAAGCTGTACTGGGGCTCAGTCACCACTTCTCCAAGCAACGTCCTGTCACCCACTCTGGCTCCTCGCAGCCCAGCAGACCCCATTCCCCAGGTTCCAGCCATGTCTATTGAAACCACGGCCTATGGCCTGTTACACCTGCTGCTATGGGAGGGCAAGGCTGAATTGGCTGACCAGGCTGCATCCTGGCTGAGCCGCCAGGGCAGCTTCCAAGGGGGATTCCGAAGCACCCAGGTAGGGGCTGTCCTGGGCTTCTAGGGTGGCTGGTCCTGAGACCGAGTACCTGAGGCCTGGCCCATTTTCCCCAGGACACTGTTATGGCTCTAGATGCCCTGTCTGCATACTGGATCGCGTCCCACACCACTGAGGAGAAGGGGCTCAACGTGACCCTCAGCTCCTTGGGCCGCAGTGGGCTCAAGTCCCACGTGTTACAGCTGACTAATCACCAAGTTCACAGGCTGGAGGAGGAGCTGCAGGTGAACCATGCCCTCAGCTAGGTGACCAGGACACCTGGACCTCCCTTGGCCAGGCCAGTAGTCATCCCCTGTCTGCCACCCCTGATGAATCCCCACGGCCCCTCTTTCTGATAACTCTGTGGGAAGACTTACTGGCTCTGTGACCTGTAGCAAGTCACAATCTCTGAGCTTCTTTTATCTGATCTGAAAATGATTCATGCAGAATCTACAGAGGGTTTAGGAGATGGTGGAGAGAGAATGCGGTGAAAGTAGAAAGTGTTGAAAAGTGAGGTGGGGAGAGGAGGTGGAGTTATTTTGGTGGAGGAGGTAAGTTGAAGCAACAGTGTGCCCTCCTGACATCTCTTTCCCTTTTCTGCTTGTGACAGTTTTCCCTGGGAAGCAAGATTAACGTGGAGGTGGGAGGAAACAGCAAAGGAACGTTGAAGGTGAGCGCTGGTGGCACTGGGCGGCCAGGGCGATCAGGGTGAAGCCGGGGTGTTGAGTGGGAGACCTGCAGGCAGAGCTCATGGTCTGGGAAGGAGGAGGAGACCCCCTGGCTGCAGTTCGCTGTGCTCTGTCCTGGGCACGTGCCCCTCACTCTGCTCTCCTCCCTCACTAGGCGCCTGTCATCCCCTTCAGCCCCTCAGTGCTGATGCTCAAACACTTGGTGCCTCAAGCCTAGTGTCTCCCCTGAGCTCTGAGACCCTGTGTCCCTCAGCACCTCAGACTTTGTTGAGCCCCAAACCCCTTCCTCCTCCTGTGTCTCCTTGTCTGACTGACAGTGTCCCTTCCATACAGGCACCCAGCTGCCCCTCTGGGGGCCGTCTTAGTGCCCCCTGCTCCATCCTAAGCCTGTCCTCATGACCCCAGTAACTCCTCCTCTGCCTTCACCCCAGCCCAGTCACCTCCCCAGCAGAACAGATCCTTCCATCTACACACATCTCCTGGCCCTGAATGTCCTTCAGCTGCTTCTTGTCCCCCGTGATACACTCATTCTCCTCCTTCAGGCTTCGCCTGGCAGCCGTTCCTGACCTTTTCATTGTAGCCTCTTCGGTGTATGTTTACAGTGCTTGCCCCCAGACCAGGACCCTGCTCTGCTCTGTGTCTCACCCAACACCTCAGCCTATTTGTATTTCTGGACTGGTCTGGGAGGTGGATGGGAAAGGGCAGAAGACCTCGAAGCTCTTAGCCCAGGAGCTAAGGGATCCAGAGCCTTTCCTTGTGGTTCTGGAGAAAGGTCTGTCGCCCTAAGTGTCCCCATGTCCCCTTCCTACCCCTTTGGAGCCAGGTTCTTCGCAGCTACAATGTCATGGACATGACGAACACGACCTGCCAGGATCTTCAGATTGAAGTGACGGTCATGGGCCACGTCGAGTACATGAGTGAGTGTTGGGGTCACAGGCTGTGGGTCTCTGAGTGGGTGGTGCCAGGGCAGAGCCACAGTGCTGTCCCCTCGCAGTGGAGGCTGAGGAGGACTACCAGGAATACGAGTATGAGGACTCTCCAGCGGGGGATGACCCCAAGGCCCACTCCCAGCCCGTGACACCCCTAAACCTGTTTGAGAAGTGGAGGAACTGCTGTAAAACAGATGCCGCCAAGGTGGCTAAGGAACTGGAATCCAGGGTGCATCCAGTAAACCCTGGGGTGGCTCTGGGCCTGTGGGTGCTGCTGGGATGAGAGAGGGACGCAGGGCTGAGGTTGGGGCCGGGTGTCTACAGCCTGGCACCAGGCGTGGGGGGACCCTCCATGTGTCTCCATAGGCGGACTGGCAAGGTGGGGCTGTCGGGCATGGCCATTGCGGACATCACCCTCCTGAGTGGATTCCACGCCCTGCGGGCTGACCTGGAGAAGGTGTGACCAGCCACCCAGAGGGTTGCTTGTGCCCCAGGAGCCCGGCCCCATCCCCACAGTAACCCCAGTTGCTCAGCCCTGTGATGTGCAGGGTGGCCAGGGGCTTCCTCCGTGTGACTCCCAGCTCCCGTTCCCCACAGCTGACCTCCCTCTCTGACCGTTATGTGAGCCACTTTGAGACCGAGGGTCCCCACGTCCTGCTGTACTTCAACTCGGTGAGCAAGGAGGGTGACAGAGGGGCGCCGAGCTGGCGCTGGGTTTCCTGAGCTCGTGTTAGGGGGTTTCCCTGGAGGCAGGTGTATCAGCAGCTACTGCTCTGGGAGAGAACTTGTGGTGTGAGCAGGGAGACAGGACAGGAGAGGTCAGAGCCTTGGCCAGGGAGGTTCCCCGCTGCCTGCAGGGAGGTGGGGCTGAGCCCCTTCTGTGTGTTGGGGTCCAGGGCCAGTCAGCCGGGGAGGGCTTGAGAGAGAGCCTTTCATAAAGCTGAATGTATTCAAGTTGAGGGACTGCTTCTTTTTCATTGACCTTCTCTCTCTCTTTTTTTTTTATATTAAATGTGTATTTTGTCTTTTTTGAAATGATGGTGATCTTAGATGAACTGTTGTTGTTTTCTTCCCCCATGGCCATCTTTGACTAACATACAGTTATCAACCCTCTGATGGCCCTCAAAAAAGTTTTTTGGAAAAAAAAAAAAGTTTTTTGAACATTTACTGTAACCTCTTGGAGAAAAATGTGAAAAAGGCATGTTAATCCTGTGATACCACTTGTCAGGCGTGTTAAGACTGAGATACAACTGGCCAGGTATTTGTGGGTCAGGGAGACCCTCCCTGCGAGTGTGTGCAGAGGGGACAGACCCTGTTGGCTTGAGAAGCCAGGCAGAGGATTCTGGTTGAACACAGTGGAAAATGAGGAAGATGTCAAGTCAGGGAGCTCACCATGCAGCTTAGGAAGGAAACTCACATGGGATACCAGGCTGGACTGGACCAGTGTGGGCATGAGGGGAGGGATCTGGGCCTAGACATGAGTAGTGGAGTCACAGAGGGCAAGCAGAGGGCTAGCACTTGCTGTTACCAAGCAGAAAAGGGAGGCCTTAGCTGTATCATTGAGGCTATTGAGAGGGTGAGTGGGTTTGGAGGGCAGGCAGACAGAATCGGGAGAGTTTAATACATCCTGTAAAAGTCCCAATACAAGAAAAAGGCTGAACATTTGGGAGAAACTGCCCACCTGCAGAGTTTGGGGAATAATGAGACCGCCTGGGGAGCACAGAGAAGGGGAAGGGCCTGTGCCTCTGGGAGGGACGAAGCAGGAAGGTCAGAAATGACCAGGTCAGAATCAGGGGTGGTCTGGAAGCTAGCCCTGAGGGTAGGGAGAGCTTTGTGAAGAATGTGTCCATGAAGTGAGCCTCTGTGAAGGTGCCAGGACAAGAGACTGGGGTGAGGTCACCATGTGGGCAGTAAAGTCAACAGAGATCTTGGGGAGCAGTTTTTAGAAATCCCAAGGCTAGAAGGTAAGAAAACATAAAGGACACTGGAGATAAGATCGACCAGAATCAAACAGGTCAAACAAATCCATCATAGCGGTCTATGAGGGCTCAGGGCCTAGAGGTGGGTCCCTGACTTCCCTCCACCCACCTCCCCTCCCATGCCAGGTCCCCACCTCCCAGGAGTGCGTAGGCTTTAGAGCTATGTAGGAGGTGCCCGTGGGGCTGGTACAGCCGGCCAGGGCCGTCCTGTGTGACTACTACAACCCTGGTGAGATGCTGGGGACACTCGGGAGGGTTGGAGTAGGTGGCAGTGAGGGGTGGCAAGGGAGTCCAGTGGGTTTATCGCCTGGGAGGGAAAGAGAGGGCAAGTGCCCTAATGCCCCTCTGCTTTTTCCAGAGCACAAAGGTTCTGTGTTTTATGGGGCACCACATAAAAGCAAACTATTCTCCATGTTGTGCTTTACGGCTTTCTGCCAGTGTGCTGGGCGTGAGACCCCTCACCGCTGATATCACAGCACCATGTTTACAGGGGGGAGGGCAGGGGTTTGTATAGGAGCAACAAAAGGAGACACCGAGGCACGGGACTGGCCGAGTCCTCCCCCCCACTCCTCCCCCATCACTGGGCACTGGTGCTCTCCCAGGCCGCAGCCTCCACTCCCCGGGTCTGCAGCCGCACCTGGAAAGGCTGGACCTTGAGATTGACACCGCAGTAGGGATCCGGCTGCAGCGATGGCAGGGCGCCCACGGGCGGTGGCAGCAGCATGAAGGCCTGCAACAGTCGCAGGAGCACTACGAGGAGCTCCAGGCGCGCCAGCGACTGGCCCAGGCACACGCGCGCCCCACAGCCAAACGCCAGCACACTGGGGTTCGCACCCGGCTCCAGGAAGCGGTCTGCGGGTGGAAGGACCGATCCGGGGCTCAGGGGCTGTCGGCCACCGGCCCCCCGCTGCACCGCCACCCGCCACCGCGGGCACCCGCCCCAGCACACACCCGGCTGAAACTCATGCGGCTGCTCCCAGATGGTCTCGTCCAGGTGGGCACCTTGGAGGTTGGGGATAACGACCATGCATGCCCTCATGGATGTCATAGCCGAAGATGCTGAAGGTTAGGGTTAACTGAGAGGCCCGCTGGGACCCTGCTGGGGCCTTGGCCGTTCATCCCTAGGCCTCTGGAGTCACCTGGTAGGCAGTGGTGCCATGTGTCAAGGCCAGGGGCAGCAACTCTGCCATGATGGCCTTTAGCAAAGGCAGCTGAGAGCCGTCCTTTAATATGACTCCAGGGTTTGAGGCTCTGGGGCCCAGCTTGAGATCCATCTTCTCCTGAAGGTGTTGCTGAATCTGAGAAATGGAGCCCAAGTCCTATCACTGGCCAGCCCTCAGCTGCCAGCCTCCATTGTGTGTGTCTGTGTATCTGTGTGTGTGTGTGTGTGTGTGTGTGTGTGCGCACGTGTGTGCGCACGCTAGTCACTCAGTCATGTCTGACTCTTTCAGAGCCCATGGACTGTAACCCTCCAGACTCCTCTGCCCATGGAATTCTCCAGGCAAGAGTACTAGAGTGGGTTGCCATTCCCTCTTCCAGGGCATCTTCCCAAAACAGGAGTCAAACCTTGAGTCTCCCACATTGCAGGAAGATTCTTTACATTCTGAGCCACTATGGAAGCCCAAACTTCCACCATTCCCTGAAGGATCTCACATGAGACTATGTGCCAAATAGGAGAACCCATGCCAACCCCACTGACCCGCCCCAGTCCTACCCCCACAACACAGCCTGCATTGCCATCAGTGAGATAGGTTCCCGCCACCCTGGCCAGGCTGCCAGGAAGGATCCCTAGCCTGCCTCCAGGGCATACCTCAGGGTGGTGAAGCAGGAACACCACAGCCCAGGAGAGGGCGATCGCCGTGGTTTCAGTGCCCCCAATGAAAAGGTCCACCACAGACATGTGCACGTGTCCTTCCAGGAGCTGTCCTGGGCCCTCTTCTACTCTTTGGCTCCCTACCCCCTGGAGCATGTAGTCCATCATATCCTTCCACTGGCCAGCCACCATGCTCTCCTGGGGAGGGGAGGAGGAGCCGGCCTGAGTGCCTGGCTTGGGGAGCGTGTTGAGAGGGTGCCGACAGGTCCAGGACTGCGGGGATGGCCCAGAAGCTGCCTGGCTCTGGGCAGCATCGTCACCGCTGCCGGCTGAGGAGGAGCCCGGTCCACACACGTTTCCCACCTTGTGGCGCCTCAGCTGCTTCTCCACCATGTGGTCCCTGTTCTCTATGGCCTGCTTCAGCCTCCAGAGCCAAGGGTTGGGGAAGAACTGGGGCAGAGAGTAAGAAGGTGTAGCTGCTGGCAAGGAAGCCTGTTCCCCATCCCCACCCTTTCTCCCAGGACCAGGTGTGTCGGGGCTGCGCCTCCTCACCCTGAGAAAAGGAACCAGGTCCAAAATCCGGATGGACCAGTGGTCCCAGCTCTTCATCAAGTCCTGAACACAGTCGTGAAAGGCATTTACTAAGGTGTCCTCCTGCCAGAGAAGGAGGAAATCCTTTCAGTGCAGAACCAGGAGAGGATCAGGGAGGGGTTGCAGGGGGCAGGGGGAGGGGGGCAGGTATATGTGAGGGCAAGAGAGTCTTGACCTTATCTCCAGAATGAGGTAACAGATGATGCTGCAGGTGAGGAGAGAGAATTCCTTCTGGATGGTCACGGGGGCACCAGCCTGGACTCTCACGTGCTGAAGAGAAAGAGCATGAACTAAATAGGGACCTGGGATGACCCTGGTATTTAAGAGGCTAAGATTCTTGCTCCCAGTGCAGGGGGCCCAGGTTTGATCCCTGGTCAGGGAACTAGATGCCACATGCTTCAGGTAATATAAGTGAAAAAACTAGAGGGGCTTCCAGGAGGGGTGAAGCTGACCTGGGCTGACTGTGGGAGTCCAGGCTCACCTCGCAGAACTCCTGGGTCAACTGCTCCACCCAGGGCTCCATGGAGCTGCGGATACCCAGTAGCAAGGCTGAGTGGGTGAGTTTCTTGTGGGCCTTCCAGAGCAGAGAATAGTCCCCCAGAGAGATGTCCTGGCAGCGCTGAGACACCAGCTTGTCTGCGAGTAGGGGTTGGGGGTGGGAGGGTCGACTTGACCAAGGAAGACACAGGCCTGACCTCCCCTGCCTCCCAAAGCCCTGCTTCTCCCCTCAAGCAACCCCTTACAGGATGGTATCTGGGGTCTGCCGGCAAAATCCACCCACTTCCTGATCATAGCCTCCTCGATGGTCCTCTTGGAGTTCAGCACCACCACCTCTGGAAGGGGGAGTGGTAGGAAAAGCAGGAAGTCAGCATGAAAGGACACCCCCAACCCTCCTCACTGTTGTGGGTCAGGAAGGAAGCAGACCCTCACCTTGCAGCCCAAGGCGAAGCCTGTAGACAGGCCCAAGTTTCTGAGTCAGGCTCAGCAGATGGATGGGGAGGTTGGGCTGCAGCAGGTGCAGTAAGCCGGGGACCAGCGGTGGGAGGAGGAGGTTTCTGAGCTTCCACGGCCCCACAGTGGGTGAGCGCCAGCTAGCAGGGTGAGCAGCAGCAGCAGCCCTGAGAGGACCATGGCTGGAGACCCAGGCAGAGGCCCCGGCCCCGCCACTTATAGCTCTCCACACCTCCAGCCATCTGGCTACTTGGGCTGTTCTGAAGCCTCCCTCGACTCCTTGCCTCAGGTCCTTGCCCACTGTCCTGCCCACAAAACAGTACATTCTTGCAATGGCGTCCATCCTCTTGGCCTTCGAAAATCCAATATCAAAGAGCAGGCCTTTTCCCATTCATCTATCAAGAGGAAAGGAAAGGAAACACAACCCTGACCTTCTTTAACAGCCAGAATCAGCTTTCTGTCAACAGTTCAGGAAAACATATCCATAAGGCCTCTCCCACCCCCACACCACACCCATCGCCACCTTGGACCAGCTTCCTGCCACAGGGTTTGTCTGAGAGAAGAATGACAACCCATGCCTAATATGCCCTCCCAGATGGCCTTTGAAGCATGAAATGAGATGAAAGTGATGTGGTTTTTTCTTTTAACTTACAGATAGGGTAACCACATGTCCTGGTTTGCATGTGTTATCCCAAGTCATACCTATAGTCCAAGGGTCATCAGTAATAAGCATCTTTTTATGCTCATAACTTGGAGATGAAGAATTAAATGTTTCCCCAGTTTGGAGCTCTTACCCTGTACCTGACGCTCTTTGCTTGCAAGGAAGAGACCCACTTGAGCTAATTTGAGCCAAAAGTAAGAATTATTATACAAATACAGGGATATCTCACAGAATCCAAGAGCAGGCAAGTAGAAGGGAACTTCTTTGCCTTGGAAAGCCAGGGATTGTGAACTAGAGCCCAAAGACATGGCTGCTTCCTCACGCTTCGTTCCTCCTCTCATTTGTTTATTATTCCTGGCTGCACTGGGCCTGGATTGCCATGCCTGGGCTTTCTCTAGTTGCGGCGAGCAGAGGGTACTCTCTAGCTGTGATACTTGGGCTTCTCATTGCAGTGGCTTCTCTTGTTGTGAAGTGCAGGCTCTAGGCTCGTGGGCTCTAGAACTCGGGCTCAGTCGTTGGGTCCCACAGGCCTGGTTGCTTCACAGCATGTGTGATCTTCCCAGACCAGGGATCCAACCCGTTTCTTCATTGGCAGGTGGATTCTTAACCACTGGACCACCAGGGAAGTCCCCTCCTTCTCTGTCTGCAGTCCTCTCCTCCCACTGCAGTCAAGCTGCTTGCGCTCCCGGGTGCAGGCGGCAGAGGACTGCTTTCGGGGTTAGACTCCACAGAATATGGGTCTAGCCCCAGGACAAGAGGGCTTTAATGGCGTGGTCAAACATGCCCCACATCGATTCCAAAGTCCTCAGGAAGGAACTTGATAGCCACAGCTGGGATCAGGGGCCCAGCCCTCTTCAGGGAGATGTTGCCATGAGGGCTGGGGTCCCAGTGGACTAAGTAGGGCTATCAGGAGCCACTGTTGAGGGTGAGGGGGCAATTGAAGGACTCATAGGAGAGGTCATGCTAAAGAGGGGCGGCAGGACTCGGTGGGAGGCTGGGGCACCTAGGAGGTGGGGTGAGAGCTTAGAGCTGACCTGAGTTCACACATCCCCCAATACTCCATTCTTTCTCTGCCAGCTGACCTCAGAGCTTTAACCAGAGCAAGACTCTGCCACCAGAGAGCCTGGGTCGAGATCCCAGCTATGGTACCAACTAAAGAGTTCACTGCTGCGGGTCCTTAAGGAAGAGGCTCAGCTCAGCCTAACCCAGGCCCAGGACTGGGAGGGAGAAAACTTGGGATTTCTGGGGTTGGGCAGCAACAGCCAGCTCCTTCCTCATAGTTGACCTCAGGCCCCAGACCGTGTCTTGCCACAACTATAGCTGAATGTTTGACTCTCATACGTGGCTCTATGCCACCAATATGCTGACCGGATTTCGGGAGAGATCTGCCAGGCAACGACCAGGCCATGTAGACAACAGCCCTAAGACGCCTCTGAAACACTGAGGAAGGTCAGAACGCTTTTGTAAAAAAAAAAAAATTACCTTATTTTGTTACCCATGGTCTTAGTTGCAGCATTGGGGATCTTAGATCTGAAGTTGCAGCATGCAGGATTTTTTTTCTTTTTTTCACTTGAGGCTTTTGAACCCTTAGTTGTGGCATGTGAAAACTAGTTGCCTTGGCAGATATCGAACCTGGGCCCCTTGCATTGGTAGCACAGAGTCATAGCCACTGGGCCACCAGGGAAGTCCCCGGTCAGAACTACTCAAAATTTGTTGGAATAGGAGGGCACTCTGTTCAGAGAGTGACCTGGCCTGCTAGCCTGCTGGCGAACACTGCTTCATAACTGACACCATGTACCTTGCCAACCCTGTCTCCTCCACACCACTCCAAATCCTAATTCCAGACATGATAAATGATATGCAGTTCCCCCCCAAATGGCTCTGTTGTGCCCCCAGCCTCGGGGCCTTTTATGTTCTTCCTTCTGCCTTAAATACCTTCATCTACTCCTACTCCCTTTGCTTGACTCGTCAGCCTACAGAGTCCAAGTTAGAGGTCACCTCATCCAGGAAGCCTCCCCGGCCCACTTCTCACATGCCCCCAACTGGTCAGAGGCCCCACAGAACCGTGCAGCTCCCTGACCTCACACCATTCACAAAAGATGGGGATCTGGAACAGGGCATGGCCTGGAATGAGAGGTCCACAATTCCTTTTGAATGACTGAATGGCAGGCTGCTGAGTTAGCTCAGTTTCCCTCAGAAATGACCTCAGCATATTCCTCTAGATGAATTTCTAGGTAAGCCCTGAAGACCCAAGAGGTGCTACCATAATGGGGGAGAGCTAGGCGGGCAGGTGGGGAGGGTTGACCCTGGGGAACAGCAGTTCCCTCAGAGTATTAAGAAACACCAAAGTTGGCCTTTCAGTCTGTTTGAAATCAGTATCTAGATGAAGGCATCATCAGACCTGAGGATTGCACAATTCTGGGAAAGTTACGTAATGCTGCTGATAAAGGGATCCAGTGTCAAACGGTCTTTCAACAGAGCAGGTCTCGGTCAGAAGCAAGACCCCAGAAGTGGCAGGTGCATGAGCACAGTGGGGGACATGCGGCTGGGGAGCTGCTCACGAAGCAGAAGGGCTGAGGTGCCTGGTGTACAGTGCCCGCCTGAGGCCCCAGTGACAGGCTGCCAGGCACAGGGAGTGCCCTTCAGGCAGAGTGAAAGGGAGGTCTCAGTGTGGACACGGGATCCTCTGAGCGCAGGGTCAGCTGCCCACCATGGTCACGATGTGGCACCAGGCTCCCAAGGGGTCGCCTGGGGGAGGAGGAGATTCAGGCAGAGCCGGACGCTGCAAGGGTCACCCAGGCTCTGGGAGCCTTAGATGATGCCAACCCTGGCCTGGGCCCCCCAGAACCTGGAGCAGGTGGTGGGGACGCTGGTCTCAGTCCTGGAGATACACACGGACACTTTGGGGCCAAAGGCCTTTATTGAGTCCCTGGTTTTGCCTAGGGCTCTGATCAGGGCACAGGGCATGGCAGGAGTCCAGGCACCACCTTTCCGCAGCTCCGGCTCCTCCTGGGGAAGCTGGGAGCGCGCCCTCACACCTGGCAGCCCTGCGTACCATACTCCTCGAGGAAGCTGTTGAGCTGGGCACAGGGTGTCCGATGGCGGGTGCTCTGGCACATGCGCTTGGAGGGCATCTCCTCGATCCAGCTGTTTGAGTCCAGCAGGTACTGGGGGCTGCGGGCAAAGGGGCAGTCAGCAGGGGTCAGCGGAGGGTCAGGAGCAGACCCTGAGGCACCTGGATTCTGAGGGCACAAGGGACCGTTTCCCTAGAGAGGCGTGGGCAGAGCAGGAGACCGAGGGGTCCCAAAACTCACTCTCCCTTGAGGTCGTAAGTGGCCCCATCCAGACCCATGATCAGATATTCTTTCCCAGGTTCCAACTGAAGGCGGCAAGAGGCTCGGACCAGGAAGTTTCTGGTCTGATCAGCGGTGGCCTTGGCATCCTTGGCTGAGGGGAGAAGGTCCACAGAGTCATCAGAGGGGAAGAGGAGCGGGAGGACAGCAGGGGGCCAGGGCGTCTTCGCCAAGCCTCCATTTGACCCTCACCACTCCCAGCGGGCAGGTGGGACTGCATTCCTGTCTGTGGACAAGCCCAGGGCTTCGAAGAGGCTGAGGGGCTTTGAGCTCAGACTGGCTGCAGTTTCACTCTTCCAGGCGCCAAGGCCCCAAAGCCAGACCTCAGCTCCCCAGTATGGCCCCCAGCCCTGCCCACTTATCGTCCCCCTCTTACTGAAATGCAGGACTTGGGTGATATGGGTCTCAAAGAGGCGGAAAGCAGCCCTGCTGTCTTCTCGGAGAACCTTAACCTGGAAGGCTGTGGGGGGTTTAAGAGAAGGGAGGGAAGGTTAGTTATCCCGAGGCTAAGAGGACGGGAGGTCAGTGCAGAGTGACAAGGCTGTCCGTGGGCCTGAGAGGTGCAGGCGCAACCTAAGAGACCTTGAGGGTGGGTGGGTCAGGGTCAGGGCCAGGGCCCGGGCAGGAAGACTGACCGTAGTCCACTCGGGGAGAGTAGCAGGCGAATTTCATCCGGTAACCCTCCACATCCTGCTGCCCACGCTCCAGGGCCCGGCGCTGTCGAGGGCACTTCCCTGAAGTCAGGGGCCCAGGTGAGGCCGCGTAGGCCCCAGCCAAGCCTCTTCCACCCCTGATCCCCAGTCCGGTGTCTCACCCTCAGCACACTGGCAGACATCCGCAGAGCACAACGTGGACAAGAGTTTGCTCTTACGTGGTGCCCCATAAAACACAGAACATTTGTGCTCTGGAAAAAGCAGAGAGGGGCATTCATTAGGGCACTGGCCTGTCTCTGCCTCCCCAGTCCATGGACCCCCAGGACTCGCTTGCCACCCCTCACTGCCACCTAACCGACGCCTCACCAGGGTTGTAGTAGTCATACAGGACGGCGCTGGCTGGTTGTACCAGCCCCACGGGCACCTCCTGCACCGCTCCGAAGCCCACGCACTCCCGGGAGGTGGGGACCTGCCATGGGGGAGGCGGGGAGAGGGAGTCAGGGACCCACCTCTGGGCCCTGCAGACCGCTATGATGGATTTGCTTGGCCTGTTTGGTTCCGGTCGATCTTATCTTCACTGTCCTTCACCATTTGTTATCTTCCAGCCTCGGGATTTCTAAAAACTGCTCCCCAAGGTCTCTGCTGACTTCACTGCTCACATGGTGACCTCACCCATCTCCGGGGCCCTGAGCGGCTTCACAGAGTCCCACTTCAAGGACACATCTTCACAAAACTCTCCCTACCCTCAGGGCTAGCTTCCAGACCACCCCTGATTCTGACCTGGTCATTTCTGAGCTTCCCGCTTGTCCCTCCCAGAGGCACAGACCCCAGCGCAGTCCCTTCCCCTTCTCTGTGCTCTCCTGAGGCGGGCTCACCACTCCCCAGACTCTGCAGGCGCGTGGTTCCTGAACCAAATGTTCAGCCTTATTCTTGCACTGGGATTTTTACAGGATGTATTAAACTCTCCCAGTTCCCTCTGCCTGCCCTCCAAACCTAATCACCCTCTCCGTAGCCTCACTGGTACAAATAAGGCCTCATTTATCTCCTAGGTACCAGCAAGTGCTAGCCCTCTGCCACCCTCTCTGACCCCGTCACTCATGTAGGCTTTGATTCCTCTCCTTATGGCCACACTGCTCCAGTCCAGCTTGGTATCCCACGTAAGTTTCCTTCCTAAGCTGCACGGTGAGCTCCCTAACTTGACATCTTCCTCATTTTCCACTGTGTTCAACTAGACTCATCTGCCTGGTCTCCAGCCAACAGGGTCTGTCCCCTCTGCACACACTGGGCAGGGAGGGCCTTCCCGACCCACAAACACATGGTGAATGGTATCACAGTATTAACATGCCTTTTTCACATTTCCCTCCAAAGGTTACAATAAATGTTCAAGAAATTAGTTGAGGGCCGTCAGAGATCTGATAAGTGTGTTAGTCAACTACAGCCATGGGAAAAAAAAATAACAATTAACCTATGATCACCATCATTTAAAAAAAAAGAAAACACACCTGAATATCATAAACAGAAAAAACCAGGATGTTCAACAACAAAAAAGCAGTCCCTCACGACGAATAAATTCAAATTTAAGAAAGGCGCTCTCTCAAGCCCTCCCCGGCTGACTGGCCCTGGACCCCAAGATACAGAAGGGGCTCAGCCCCACCTCCCCCAGGCAGCGGGGAACCTCCCTGGCCAAGGCTCTGACCTCTCCTGTCCTGTCTCCCTGCTCACACCACAAGTTCTCTCCCAGAGCAGTAGCTGCTGATACACCTGCCTCCAGGGAAACCCCCTAACACGAGCTCAGGAAACCCAGCGCCAGCTCGGCGCCCCTCTGTCACCCTCCTTGCTCACCGAGTCAAAGTACAGCAGGACGTGGGGACCCTCGGTCTCAAAGTGGCTCACATAACGGTCAGAGAGGGAGGTCAGCTGTGGGGAACGGGAGCCGGGAGTCACACGGAGGAAGCCCCCGGCTGCCCTGCACATCACAGGGCTGAGCAACTGGGGTTACCGTGGGGATGGGGCCGGGTTCCTGGGGCACAAGCAGCCCTCTGGGTGGCTGGTCACACCTTCTCCAGGTCAGCCCGCAGGGCGTGGAATCCACTCAGGAGGGTGATGTCTGCAATGGCCATGCCCGACAGCCCCACCTTGCCAGTCCGCCTGTGGAGACACGTGCCTGTTGTCTGGGTCCCCCCCACGCCCGGTGCCAGGCTGTAGACACCTGGCCCCAACCTCAGCCCTGCGTCCCTCTCCCAGCCCAGCAGCACCCACATGCCCAGGGCCACCCCAAGGCTCACCAGATGCACACAGAGTACTGCACCCTGGATTCCTGTTCCTCAGCTGCCTTGGGGGCCTCCCTCCTACGGCGGTTCCTCCGACCGTCAAATAGCTGCAGGGGTGTCACGGGCCGGGAGTGGGCCTTGGGGTCATCCCCCGCTGGAGAGTCCTCATACTCGTATTCCTGGTAGTCCTCTTCAGCCTCCACTGGGAGGGGACAGCACTGTGGCTCAGACCTGGCACGACCCACTCAGAGACCCACAGCCTGTGACCCCAACACTCACTCGTGTACTCGACGTGGCCCACGACTGTCACTTCAACCTGAAGATCTTGGCAGGTCGTGTTTGTCATGTCCATGACATTGTAGCTGTGAAGAACCTGGCTCATCAAGGGGCAGGAAGGGGACATGGGGACACTTAGGGCCACAGACCTCTCTCCAGAGCCACATGGAAAGGCTCTGTATCCCTTAGCTGTTGGTTTAAGAGCTTTGAGGCTTTCTGCCCTTTTCCATTCTGCCCCTGGACCCATCCAGAAATATAAATGGAACTAAGTGTTGGGTGAGAGAGAGAGAGGGGAGCAGGGTCCTGGCATGGGGGCAAGCATTGTTCAGAAGCACCAAAGAGGCTTTAATGGAAAATTCAGGAAAGCCTGCTGGCCCAGGCTTGAAGGAGGAAAAGGAGTTTGTCATATGGGACAAGATCCTGAAGGCCATTCAAAGCTAGGAGATGTGTCTACATGAGAGGATTTGTCCAGCTGGGGGGATGGGCGGGGCTGGAATGAAAGCAGAGGAGGAGTTACTGGGGAGGTGGGCGTGGCTGAGAAGAAACAGAAGTCTCCCAGGTCACAAGCAGAGGCTTAGCCTGGTGGAGGCCACTAAGATGGCCCCCAGAGTGGTAGCTGCGCTCCTGCAGGGATGGACTCTGTCAGCCAGACAAGAGACACAGAAGGAAGAGAAGGTTTGGGGCACAACCACGGCAGAGATGCTCAGAGCTCAGGAAAGACACTAGGCTTGAGGCACCAAGTGTTTGAGCATCAGCACTGAGGGGCTGAAGGGGATGACAGGTGCCTAGTGAGGGAGGAGAGCAGAGTGAGGGGCACGTGTCCAGGACAGAGCACAGCGAACTGCAGCCAGGGGGTCTCCTCCTCCTTCCCAGACCATGAGCTCTGCCTGCAGGTCTCCCACTCAACACCCCGGCTTCACCCTGATCGCCCTGGCCGCCCAGTGCCACCAGCGCTCACCTTCAACGTTCCTTTGCTGTTTCCTCCCACCTCCACGTTAATCTTGCTTCCCAGGGAAAACTGTCACAAGCAGAAAAGGGAAAGAGATGTCAGGAGGGCACACTGTTGCTTTAACTTACCTCCTCCACCAAAATAACTCCACCTCCTCTCCCCACCTGACTTTTCAACACTTTCTACCTTCACCCGCATTCTCTCTCCACCATCTCCTAAACACTCTGTAGATTCTGCATGAATCATTTTCAGATCAGATAAAAGAAGCTCAGAGATTGTGACTTGCTACAGGTCACAGAGCCAGTAAGTCTTCCCACAGAGTTATCAGAAAGAGGGGCCGTGGGGATTCATCAGGGGTGGCAGACAGGGGATGACTACTGGCCTGGCCAAGGGAGGTCCAGGTGTCCTGGTCACCTAGCTGAGGGCATGGTTCACCTGCAGCTCTTCCTCCAGCTTGTGAACTTGGTGGTTGGTCAGCTGCAACACGTGGGACTTGAGCCCACTGCGGCCCAAGGAGCTGAGGGTCACGTTGAGCCCCTTCTCCTCAGTGGTGTGGGACGCGATCCAGTATGCAGACAGGGCATCCAGAGCCATAACAGTGTCCTAGGGAAAATGGACCAGGCCTCAGGTACTCGGTCTCAGGACCAGCCACCCTAGAAGCCCAGGACAGCCCCTACCTGGGTGCTTCGGTATCCCCCTTGGAAGCTGCCCTGGCGGCTCAGCCAGGATGCAGCCTGGTCAGCCAATTCAGCCTTGCCCTCCCATAGCAGCAGGTGTAACAGGCCATAGGCCGTGGTTTCAATAGACATGGCTGGAACCTGGGGAATGGGGTCTGCTGGGCTGCGAGGAGCCAGAGTGGGTGACAGGACGTTGCTTGGAGAAGTGGTGACTGAGCCCCAGTACAGCTTATCTGGAGTGAAAGGAGACCCACAGGTGAACGGGGGAGGATCTTAGTCATCTGGCCCTTTGACGCTGCCCCTTTAGTCTCTCCTGATTTCCCAGTCACCCCTGCCTCTGCTCTGATTCCCTCCGAGGGCCTCCATTCGTTCCGTTTCTCCCTTTGGACACACTCAGGGGTCTCAAGCTCTCCCAAGCNGAGTGGAGGTCACTCACCCAGGGGGTTGAGTTCATAGACCATCTCCTCCCTGTGAATGGCCCCTTCTCTCTGTGGAGAGGAAACGTAGCTGTGAGAGACCACACAGGCTACAGCCTGCCCCTCCCAGTGTATACTCCTCAGGACCCGGAGTTGGAACTTCAGGAACACAGTCGGGCCAGAATTGTGGAAGATGCAAATGGACCAAAGTGTTGAGTTTGGGGGTGGCCTCAGGCCTCATGCAGAGAGAGGGTCAGAGTAGGGGGTGATTCTGGGAGCTGGGGACCTAGATTCAGGGGGGTTCCATTCACCTCGACATGTAGAATCTTAGATATTGCGTCCCCCACAGGGAAATCTAAGGATCCTCGAGCCACCACCTTCAGGGACACGGCAGCAGCTGCAATGGGCACCACAGAGAAGCCAACGGGCCGGGCAGAGCCCGCAGGCACCTGCACCTGCTGGGCGAGCCCTCCGCCCCCGGCCAGGCACAGCCCCTCTACTGGGGACACGTGGACGCTCACCTGGGGGCAGGAAGATAGGGAGGGCCAGAGTCCCAGCCCAGTTAGGCTCCCCACCCCTCACCTGCCCCAATCCCCTCCACCACCGTGCGCTCAGCCCCCAAGGGGCCTCACGGTCAGATCTCTATCCAGGTAGTTGTAGAGGACTGGTCGCAGCTCGAGCTGCTCAAAGCGGCGGACAGAGTGCGGCAGGCGGAGGTGCATGTGGAATTCACGGAACACTCGGAGTCTGGCCGGGGTGGCCACACACAAGCCTGATGGAGAGTGGGCACATATGAGAGGCCTGGGGGCATCACACCCAGGGGATCCCAGCAGTGAGGGGCAGGGGCTGCCCCTGGTCCCCCCACTTCCCACCCATCCCTGCCAGCTGCTCTCTGGCTTTCGGCCCCATGCTCGGCATGCAGACATCTCCAGGTCTCTGCCCCTCCTTCCTGTACCAAGAGCAAAGGACCAAGCAGGGAGCCTCCGTCCAGGGAGCATGGAACAGGGAGGCCAAGGGCCCCAGCAGGGTGACCGCACCTGTGCGTTTGGACAGGCTCACGCCATGGATCTCCCACGTGGTCAGAGAATCGGGGAGCAGCAGTCGCAATCTGCGGTGGGAAAGGTGAGAAGCTGGGTCACACGCTGGGCAGGCCCCAGACACAGCCCAGAGACAAGGCCAGGCCCCACGCGCGCCCTCACTGGGATGAGCGGTCCACTTCTTCCACTTTCCAAAGCCAGTTCTCGGGGAAGAAGCTGCGCACGGGGATGTCATCCTCTTCGATCAGGTCCTCCTCCTGCAGGAGCTCCATGGCTGCGGGGAGGACACCATGGAGGTCAGTGATGAGAAGGCCGTCCTGACCCTGCAAGGGCCCCGGCCAGTCCCCCAGCCCCACCCAGCCCCTCACCTCGGGCCAGGCCCACCTGGCCCCTGGTCCGGGCCTTCTTGCGCAGGCTCTCAGCAAACTGGCAGCAGGACAGGAAGGGCTCGCGGCAGGCCAGCGGCTGTACCCGGTCCGCCCGCTGCTCACAGGTGCGCACCATGGGCAGCCGCGTCAGCCCATCCAGGCAGCAGCGCTTGGCTACGGGGGAAGTGTACTGGCCCACTGCAGGACCAGGTGAGGGTGAGCGTGAGGCACACCTCATCCCCTGGCCCGACCTCTAGATGTACCAGGACTCACCCTGAGAGACCAGGGACTTGAGGATGGTGAAAACGGAGCACCTCCCCCCGCCCTTGGTCTCACCCCAGAACTATGGTGTCTGGATTTCTAGCCCGGACACCATATCCTGGCTCACTCAAGATCAGAGGAATCAACAAGCAGACCTGCATCCTGACCCTTGGGCCCAAGTGGAAAACTTCATGTGTCTTAGTCGCTTAGGCATGTCCAACTCTTTTTGACCCATGGCCTGTAGCCCACCAGTCTCCTCTGTCCACGGAATTCTCCAGGCAAGAATATTGGAGCTGGTAGCCATCCCCTTCTTCAGGGGATCTTTCCAACCCAGGGATCGAACCCGGGTCTCATGCATTGCAGGCAGATTCTTTACCATCTGAGCCACCAGGGATGCCCTAGAGAATTTCATGGGCACCCTCAACTCACACTTCTCATTAATTGCCTTTTGGAAGTTCACGTTTCTCTTTTTCCGAGGCTTTGACTCCTTCGGACAGCTCAGACCTGGTAGAGAGCAGGACTGCAGTCAGCCAGAGGGTGTAGGGCCTCCCATTCCCCTCTGAGTCTCCCCTTCCCAGCCCAGCCCTTCCCACCCCTCCTCTTCCTGTCTTTCCCCCTCAGGCCCCTCCTTCTTCCTTATCCTCCCACCACCCACTCCCCTTCCTCCTCTGTCCTCACTCTTTCTGATTTCAGTCTGATGGTCACCATCAGAAAAGGCCAGACCGGCTGCCTTGAACACTTGAGGGGCACTGTCTCCACCACCGGGACCACAGCCAAGGTCATAGCTGTTCATAGCTTCGAAGACCTGGCAAGAAAAGGAGAGATGCTGCAGAGGCAAGAGAGAATGTGGCCACGATCGCATACTCAGCTGCAGGTGAGAGGGCAGGGTCCAAACAAGTACGAGAGAGACACAAAGAGTGGAAACAGAGGCCACCGGGGCCATGGCTCGAGGGAGGATTGGGAGCAGTCCAGCTGAGTGAGTTCTAGTGGCTGGCATGGGCTTCGGGCAGCAGGAGGATGAGCCTCGGAGGGAAGGGAGGATCAGAGAGAGGACTTGACCAACCTTGACCATGTCGAGGGGTTTGTGGGACTTGCCACCCACAGCATACAGTGCCGTGTCCACAGCTCCCATTGAGACCCTCCCACCCCTGTCCTCCCCTGTAGCCCAGTCATGCGCACCATGTAGTAGAAGTGTGAGAAGCTCCCACTGATGCCCACGGCCTGCAGGTTTAGGTTAAGGGTCTCTCCAACTTTAAGAGGTCGAGGATTCTGCCACTCAATGGACAGAAACCCAGAGCTTCTGGACAGGGGGGCTTTCACGGTGAGACCGCCTACAGCAGGGTGTGGGGAGCCTGCAGACACCTGGAGAGAAGGCAGGGGTCGCAGGGTCAATGGAAAGGGCCCAGGCACCCAGCTTCCTTCCCTCCGCCTACCAGCCTGGGAAGCTTCTCTCCCAGCCCACCCACTCCCGTGAGAGTGGGGTCCTACCGAGAGCTGCACTTCTGAGATGGTTGGAGGAACACCAATGGAAACAATGACTTGGCCGCTCCCATCTGTGTTCCGTTCAAAGTCCTCATTTTTAGAAGTAGATCCAGAAAACAACTTGGCAGACACTTTGACGGGGATGCCAGAGGCTGGGGAGCCTGACATGTCACGGACCCGGGCCTAGGTAAACAGGGAGGGGCAGAGGGAAGAGTTCAGTCAGTGGGACGCTGTGCCCTCCTGTCCTCCACTCCCTGCCCCCACTGCTCATCCTCCCCCTTCCAGAAGAAACCTGCAGCAGGAAGGGGACCCCAGGTATAAGCTGCTGCTTGGTTTTGCTTAGATCCAAGGAGAAGGGAGATGACACGAAACGCCAGGACATGAGCTCTGCCTCCTCCAACTCTCCTCCTGCAAGATATAGGGTGGAGAGAGGTGGACATGGAGACATGGGAAGAGAGGAAAAGGTGGGCTGGGCCCGGGGAGAGGGAGCTCTAGTGTTTCCCACCCATAAGGCTGAACACTTCAGGGCACAAACTGCCTTCTGTTCATCTCTAGGTTTCCTGAGGCCAACACAGGACATTTCACACAGATGGTATATAACACACAGCTCTGGTGATAGATATGTGGATGATGGATAGATGGATGGATTCGTGGATGGATTGATAAATGGATGGAAGAAGGGGTTGGGTGGCTGGAAGGCTGGATGGATGGATGAATGGATGGATGAAGGGATGGAGGGACGTGTGATGGACGGAGGAAGAGATGGATGGATGGGTGGATGCTAGATGGATGAGTGATTAGATGGATGGATTGGTGGATGGATGCAGGGATGGGTGGATTGCTGGAAGGATGCGCAGATGGATGGAGGGATGGGTGGGTGATTGGGTAAAAAATAATACATTGAGATGATGGAAGGACCCCTTCCCCAGAAAAAGCCCAGAAATGGAGCTGTAGAGACACAGTCTTCTGGGTCTTTCCTGACTTTGTGTCACAGCTGAGGGGAAGCAGGGTGGTGTTGGTGCTAGAGAACAGAGGGTCAGCTCAGAGGTCAGAGGTGAGGGTCCAGGGTTAAAATCAGGGAAAGCCACTCACCTGGAGACTCAATAACAGCTGCCGCAACATAGAGGCGCAGCCCTGGGAGGTCATTAATGCTAATATGAAGCTTCTCCAGCACACCCTGAAACTCAGCCTTTTGGAGGGAAATTTGGCACTGGCCATCCACCAGCTGGGGCAAAGAAGAAGACAGGACAGAGGATGAGACTCGAGTCTCCCACCTCACCTCCTCATGCTGCCTCAACTCTCCTCACCCACCTCACGCACCTCAACCCTCCTTCCTACCTTGGTCTGACTCTCCAGGCCCCGCAGGAAAGTCTTTTCACCGTCCTCACCCAGGAGCCCAAAGCGCACATATGCCACCCCCTGCACTGGCTTCCCGTAGATGTACCTGCCACCAAGGAAAGATTCAGAAGAGGGGCTGAGGGCCAGGGCGAGGGAGGGAAGTGGGGTTCCATTGCACGTTCACGCTGCATGGGGCGTCCTGGCACCAGGCCCAGTGTGAGGGACCATGAGCAAGGGGGAGTTACCTGGCCTGGATGATCACTTGGATGTCACTAAGAAAGCCAGGCGTTGTCAGGATGTATGGGTTTTCAGGAATGATCTTCACCTCAAAGTTGGGAAGAACTGACCCAGGGCAAAGGGAGATCAGACTCTCATGATAGGACCCTTAAGATATTTCCCTCCCCTCGGGGCTGTGGCAGCCACGTCTTCCTTCCCTGGCCCTGCAGCCCCACCTCTGCTCCACCCCTTCCTCCTAGCAGGAAAGGGGTGCTTGTCCCTCCCATCTCCAGCTCTCACCATATTTCTTCACCTCAAACTGGGTGCTGCTATTGGAATCCAGGCTGTCTGAGAAACGGGCTGAGATTTTCCATGTTCCTGGCCTGAGGACGGACAAGGGAGAGACTCAGCCCACTCATGCAAGAGGTCCACCGACAGCCAGAGACCCAGCTCCCTAGGAAGAGACTATGGGGTTATCCAGGGGCTGAGGGAGCTCAGGACTGGACCATGCGCAGTATGTAGTTGGCCAGCTTGGGAAAGTGGGAGTTAGAGAAGTGTCGTTGGGGGCAGTCCCTGGGAGGAAATACTCACTCTGAGATGTCTGGGATCAAAAAGTTGTCCTGGAATATGGAGGAGGGAGCAACCACTTCCCTTTTCTGCACGCGGAAGCCTTGAGAGTTCTGCAATGGGAGTGAAGCAGTCACGGTCAGAAGCCAGTTCAGCAGCCCTGGCCCATTAGGAAGGTCAGAGGTCGGGGGCTCACCTCTACCGTGACCGTGAGGATGTCAGTGGCCGGGCGCATCTTCTGATCCAGAGCAAAGACTCGGTAGCGAACTGGAAATATAGGATGAGGAGGTCAGCAAGAGCCACGAGAGGGTGAGCCCTGGACCCCTGACCCCCTCCCAGAAAGCGAAGGGAAGGAGAACAAATGTTTGCAAAGCAGCCTTCCTGTGAGGGCCTTCAGGTTACCTCACTCAAGTGACTGGGAAGGCATGAAAGGTGGAGGCCCTCGCACCGAGACTCACCCCGCTGGCCAGGGTTATAAACGGGCTGGTCAGTCTGTAGAAAGAGGTGCCCACGGCGAGAGGAGAACAGCAGGTTGACACCCTGCATGTCTGTCTGTTTGGACAGAGAGTCCCTTAGCCATGATGACTGCACCATCAGCTGGACCTCGGGGGCTCCGCGGAGGAGATGGAGGCGACAGATCCTGGCCCGTTCCTGCGGAATCTGTGAGGAGAGGGACAGGGAGTGGGTCAGAGACAGAGCAGAAGGGAAAAGACAGACTAAGACACAAAGTGCCACAGGGGTGGGAGGGGAGGAAGGGAGCAGGGGGATGAGAAGACAAAGGTGTTTCCAAGAAGACAGAGGAGAACAGAAGGGGAGGCCCTGGTTGGCAACAGGAGGGAGTGGGGCCATTACCGGGAGGTTGAGGAGTTTGAAGTCTCTGTCTGAGCTGAGGCTGAAATCCACCTTCGGGGAGCAGAGCTCATTAACGTGGGATGGGTTCCTCAGGAACACGGATCCTCTCACCACCTGTCCTGAAGGAGCATCCTGGAGTTTCACAGCCACAGACAGGGGGACCCCTATGCGAACCACAGAAGGAGAAAACAGGAGCAACCTGGGAAGAACAGGTGCGAGTCAGCAGCCAGCCTCCACCCCTCCCCCCAAATCAGGACCCTCTGAGCCCACTCTCCCCTCGCCAGCCTTGGCCCTGTTCAAGCTGTCTGCATCCTGCCTCCAGGACCTGGGCTTCTGCAGAGACAAGGCGAAGAAGCCAGATGCCCAGATCAGACCCCAGAGGAGCCTCATGGCTGGAGGACCCGAGGGGTTCAGACCCGCCTGCCTGCCTGCTCCTTTCTGGTTAATGCAGGGCTTGGAGCAGAGTTTTGACTCTGGACCTTGCTCCTCCCCTGGCCCAGATAAGCCGGAAACCACGTGACAAGCAAGAACTGCAACTGGCCCCAGGCCCAGTATTCAGAGGGGGGCAACCCGGACACCTGGGTGTCTTGAGGAAATCATGGCCTGGAGAGACTGAGTCCTTCCCTATTAATCCCTCATTCCAACGCCCTGGGCACCACTGCTATTGTGTGGGTCTGGGTGCCTGTGCATATAGCATTTACACACATACATCGGCACAGGAGGGCCCCACGTGGCTCAGCAAATGGTTCCAACACATGGCTCCTTGGTTGGTCTCACAAAACAAGATACTGAGAAACCTGTCTCTTACTATGTGTTCAGGCATGCTCAGTTGCTTCAGTCATGTCCAACTCTTTGTGATGCCAGGGACTGTAGCCCACCAGGCTCCTCTGTCTGTGGGATTTCCCCAGCAAGAATACTGGAGTGGGTTGCCATTTCCTCCTGCAGGGGAGCTTCCTGACCCAGTCTCCTGAACTGGCAGGTGGATTCTTTACCACTGAGCCACCTGGAAAACCTCTTACACTAACTCCCACAAAAAATGAACTATACTAGCTTTTTGCAGGCTCTAACAAAAATTCTGTCATTTAGGCAATCAGACACATTTTCACCATCCCTCAGGGGAAACTGACTTCAGTGTCCCTTGTTCCTCTCTGATCAACAAGGTAAAGCTCTGGCCCCGCTTTGGCTTTACCTCTGCCTCTAAACAAGGTGCCCAAACTCACTTGTCTCATGAAACAAAAGACATCCACAAAACATCAGAAGTACTTTATTTGGCAGTTTCAACCCAACATGTAGGAAGAAAAACTGTCCAACTTTGACAGTTTACCCAGTGACCCCTCCTTCCTACCCCAGACAGAACAGTGGCAGAACCTTGCAGCATGAAAGACAGCAGCCATGGCCTTGGCAAGGTTTCTGGCTCCTCTTCCGTGAAAGGGCAGAGAAGCACTGCCCAAACCCCTCCACTGGGACACAGCCCAGGTAAACAGTGGCAGTCACATCTGACCCGCAGCACAGCAGCAAGCCCAGCACTCATCCTGGCTCCCAAGCCTTCCCAAGGTGACCCTGCCTCATCCAGGGTGGGCAGCCCTCCTGGGCCCCTCAATCCCCACCCTGGGGAGGTGTACAATGACGAGCAGAGTCTTCAGGTCTCTGGCAGGCGGAGGAGGGTTCCAGAAGTGGTGGAGACACTGTGCAAGAAAAAGAGAAGGCTGGAGCCAGGTTCCTGAGTTCCAGAGAACTCAGAACTTGGGTGGATATGTTCCCGCGTTCCAGAAGACAGGAGAGGGGCTGGGCTTTGCTTATGAAGGAAGCACAAAGAGGGAGGAAATCCAACCTGAGGTCATTGCTCTGTCATCTTCCAGAGGCTAGGGCGCAAGACTCACCAGTCCACCAGCTGGGCCCCAATGAGGTCGTGCACGTGGTAGGCGAGGCCAAGTCGCACCGAGGCAGGTGCCCGCCGGCCCAGGAGCTCTGAAAGGAGTAGTTCCCGGTACTTGGCCTTCCGGACCATGCTGAGGACAGCCTGGCGCCCTGGGGGAGAGGTGGCATGGGAGAGGGGAAAGGTGAGTAAGGTCTAGAGGCCTGAGGAGGCACCAGAAAGTGTTCTTGAGGGGTTGCGGGCCTGAGCTGCAGAGAGTGTACCTTTAACAAAATATTTGATGAACCTCCCAGCTCCAGGCACGGCTAGCCACCAACTTCCAGCATCTCGGACAGTGAGAACCCCGGCTTTGACCAGCTGCCTAAGAGAGTGGAGATGAACTAAGAACTCTTTCCCCTCCCTGCCCACTAATGTTGGACACTAACTCTCCAGAGGCCTGGGCACCTAGGCCATGGGACTGGACCACAGGAGTCCAGCCTGGGGCAGCTCCCTGCTCAGACCATGCTGCTCCATGCCCTATGACCTTGCTTGCCATTCTCCCACCTGACTGCCCTCCGTCCACCCTATCTTTTTCTGTTACATTGTGTCTCAGATGGTAAAGAATCTGCCTGCAATGCAGGAGACTCAGGTTCAGTCCTTGGGTCAGGATGATCCCCTGGAGAAGGGAATGGCTTATTCTTGCCTGGAAAATTCCATGCCTGGAGGACCTGGCAGGCTACAGTCCATGGGGTCACAGAGTCAGACACGACTGCTATTATTGCATGTTCACTAAAACTGCTCCTCCTCTCTGAAGCCCCCTTGACCACTGTCAGTCCCACCACCAGGGGAGACACAGAGGCCTTTCTCCAGAGCTCCTGCCATTACCTACACATAGCTCACCACTGCTGTTTGTTGTTTAGTTGCTAAGCCATGTCCAACTCCATGGCGACCTCACAGACTGCAGCCAGCCAGGCTCCTCTGTCCATGGGATTCTCCAGGCAAGAATCCTAGAGTGGGTTGCCATTTCCTTCTCCAGGGGATCTTCCCAACCCAGGGACTGAACTTGCATCTCCTGCATTGGCAGGCAATTTTTCACCAATGAGCCACCAGGGAAGCTTAGCCTACCAGGCTCCTCCCTCCATGGGATTCTCCAGGCAAGAATACTGGAGGGGGTTGCCATTTCCTTCTCCAGGGGATCTTCCCGACCCAGGGAACGAACCCAGGTCTCCGGCATCGCAGGCAGATGCTTTAACCTCTGAGCCACCAAGGAAGTCCCATACCTCACCACAGCTCTTCCCAAATCTTACCGAAGTTTATCCAATGCGTTCAGGTATATCACAGGTTACAAAGTAGGGATCCTGAGTCAGACCCACCCTCCTGAAATAATACTTCACTTTAGCCCTTGCCTAGCTGTTGTTCTTTTGAATGTGAATGCTGATTCCCACCAGGCATTTATGGCTCCTGCCAGGCCTCTATATTTGATTAGCCACCCATATCTCCTGAATTTTAGTCCAGGGCTGTTTCCAAGGCCTCAGATAAGACAGGCCTCTCCTCCTGGGGAAGAAGCACAAACTTAGGTCATTTTATTAAAAAAAAAGATTCTGCCTTTTTAACAAGTTCCCCAAAAGAAAGAGGACAAGGCCGATGGGACTGGAGGGAGGGGCGGGGGGGAGGGGTCAGATGCCTGATTCTGTTGGTTCCCCCAGGTCTCACGTGATCTCTGGGTCCCTGAAGCCAAAGGTCTGTGTCATTTGGTCTTGCTGGAAGCTAAGGTCACCACAAGCTGGAAGCACGGAAGCCAGAAACTTCTGTACTGCGGCAGCATGTGGGCGGCCATCACAAGCCTTGAGGACCTGGAACCAGAGATGAGAGACATGGTCTGGCCCCACCTCCACCAACCTCCGTCCCCAGGATGACATTTCTCTTCCTATGTTTTGCCTGCTGCTCAGGTCCTTCTACCTCTCATACTTTTCCTCCTCTTCTTCCTCTCTCCCATATTAATATTTTATCAGATATTGCCCTGTGCCCTGTCTGTGAGATGTGAGTTGGGGGGTTTGCCTCTTTTCTTTTTATTCCCACTCCCTAGTCTTCCTGCACCCCTGCCCTGGCCCCCATGACCCACACACAGTCACACTCACTCTGGTCCTGTAGTCCTCGGTGAACATGATTCCTTGGGCGTCCAAGTCGAAGCCTAGCTGGACAATCCTGATCTCCCCCTGTTCTTGCAGTGCCTTCTGCCTCCATAGACATGAGAGTGAAAAGAGGGTGTCAGGGGAAGATGCTCTGCTATACCCTGGACACGCTGGGCAGGGACATTCTGTGTCCAAGTTTTGGGGACTTCTTTAAGTAAAGGAAAAACTATGGGGAGAGAATTAGGTGAATCACCAAATAGTCTTTTCCAATTAGTCTTTCATCCACCCACCTCATGAGTTATCTGTTAAACAGTCAACACAGGGGGCTTCCCTGGTGGTCCAGTGGCTAAGACTCCATGCTCCCAGTGCAAGGGACCCCGGTTCAATCCCTGATTGGAGACCTAGATCCCACATGCCACAACTAAGAGTTTGCATACAGCAAGTTAAGGATCCCACATGCTGCAACTAAGACTCAAGATAGCCAAATAAATAATAAATATTTGTAAATGTCTGCTGAATAAAAAAAAAATACATTAAAAAAATTATGACATATTTTCTAAGACCAATCATAGGCAGACACTAAGATAAAGCAGTGATTAATGGGCTCTGCCCTCAAGGAATTAACAGTTGACTGATTTGGGGTGGGGAAAGTGGAGAAGAATATGGGATAAAATGTTTCAAACAAATAAAAATAAACCAGAACTTCTGTTTCCAGGAATATAGCAAGACCAATTCACTCACTGAAAATTAGGTAAAATGCTGCATAAAATGTTATTTTAAAAGTTGTTTAAGCAATTAAAGTGCTCATAAGATAATAAGGAATTATCAGACTAATATAGGAAAACAAAATTCAAAAGAAACAGACAATAGAAACAAACCTAAAAAGATATGTTACAGTAAACTTATAAAAAATAAACTATTTTTTTTAAGTATGCTTATAATGCTGAAATAAATAAAAGCTAGAATGGAAAATTTCAGCAGGAAATTATGAAAACTGACATAATGGATTTGAAAGACATTCATGTAATAGAAATTCCAGCACTCAAAAATAAAGCAGGTGCAGTTAAGAAATCAATGGATGGATTCAGTAGATTCAGTTCAGTCGCTCAGTCGTGTCCGACTCTTTGAGACCCCATGGACTGCAACACACCAGGCCTCCCTGTCCATCACCAATGAAGCACAAGACGGAATCAAGATTGCCAGGAGAAATATCAATAACCTCAGATATGCATATGACACCACCCTTATGGCAGAAAGTGAAGAAGAACTAAAGAGCCTCTTGATGAAAGTGAAAGAGGAGAGTGAAAAAGTTAGCTTAAAGCTCAATATTCAGAAAACTAAGATCATGGCATCTGGTCCCATCACTCCATGGCAAATAGATGGAGAAACAGTGGCAACAGTGGCAGACTTTATTTTGGGGGGCTCCAAAATCACTGCAGATGGTGACTGCAGCCATGAAATTAAAAGACGCTTACTCCTTGGAAGGAAAGTTATGACCAACCTAAACAGCATATTAAAAAGCAGAGACATTACTTTGCCAACAAAGTTTCGTCTAGTCAAGGCTATGGTTTTTCCAGTAGTCATGTATAGATGTGAGAGTTGGACTGTAAAGAAAGCTGAGCCCGAAGAATTGATGCTTTTGAACTGTGGTGTTGGAGCAGACTCTTGAAAGTCCCTTGGACTGCAAGGAGATCCAACCAGTCCATTCTAAAGGACATCAGTCCTGGGTGTTCATTGGAAGGATTGATGTTGAAGTTGAAACTGCAATAGTCTAGCCACCTGATGCGAAGAGCTGACTCATTTGAAAAGACCCTAATGCTGGGAAAGATTGAGGGCAGGAGGAGAAGGGGATGACAGAGGATGAGATGGTTGGATGGCATCACCGACTCAATGGACATGAGTTTGAGTAAACAGAGGGAGTCAGTAGGTTAAGGCACAACTAAATAAAAAGCTACTAATCTACAAAACAGATTAAAAAAATAAAACTAACCAGAACATAATAAAGACAATCAAAAAGATTAAAAATGAAGACAAGAGGCTAAAAGACTTAAAGGATTCAAACAGAAGGCCCAATATGGGTTTAATTGGAGTCCCAGAAGAAAAGAAAAGAGATAATAAGGTGTGGGAAGTATCTGAAGAACCAATAACAGCCACAATCACAAAAGTACATTAATCCAAGTCACATAAACTCATAGAACAGACAAAATAGCAATCAGTGAGGAAATAAAAGAGTTCAATAATAACTTTAGTTACTAAGAAATTAGTAACTGAATAATACATATTTTTTTCAAATATACATACATGAATATTTCATAAAACTGACTATGTAGCACAAAACATGTCTCAATAAGCTTCCAAATGACTGAAATCATATTGTGCATGATCTCTGGCCATAATAATATCATTTATGCCAGAAATCATTAACAAGGTAACTAGAAAATGTTTAGGAAGTAGACATACATTTCTAATCAACCCAGTAAGAGTAAGTCAAAGGAAAAAAAATCACAAAAGAAACTAGAAGATATTTTGAAATAAATGATAATGGAAATATATACCCAAACTTGACAGATGATGTACATAGGGGCAGACTACAGCCTAACTTGCATCTATTAGAAAAGAATAGAGGATGAAAATCAATGGAGGAAAATAAATGAAAAAAAAAAAGAAAGAAAGAAAATCAATGGAGGAAAAAAAGTAAAATAAGCATAACAGTAGAGAGGAAACATGAATGAAATGGAAAACATGCATGCAAGAAAGAGCAACAGAGCTAAATGTTAATTCTTTGAAAGATTACTAAAATTGATAAACCTTGGTGAGACTGACCAAGACAGAAAGGGGGAAAGAGGAACCTAGAAAAAGCACAGATAACCAATATAAGGAACAACAACAAAAAAAGGATCATCACTATAGATTCTACAGAAAATAAAGTGAGATTACAAACTTTGTCAATAAGTGTGAAATTTTAGATGAAATTGACAAATTCTTAAAACAATACAATTTCTTCCACTAGACTGGACAAAGTGGGATATATTCACAAAATAGAAATCTATGAAAATGAATTTTAAACCTGTGTGTGCGTGCACATTCTCAGTCACTCAGTCACGTCCAACTCTTCGAAACCCCGTGGACTGTAGCCACGAGGCTCCTCTGACCATGGAATTTTCCAGGCAAGAATACTGGAGTAGGTTGCCATTTCCTACTCCAGGGGATCTTCCCAATCCAGGGATCCAATCTGCGTCTCTTGGGTCTCCTGCACAGGCAGGAGATTCCTTACCACTGGGCCACCTGGGAAGCCCCCATGAATCTCAAAAATAATCATCTAACAAAACAAGATGTAAGTAAATACATATGGTATGATTTTATTTATATCAAATTGAAAAGTAGGTAACTAAGCTATGTTATTTATGGATAAACACATAGATGGTATAAAAGAAATTAAGGGAACAATTATCAAACCAGTCAGGTATGTTGCTTCTCAGGGACATAAGGCATTTTGACTGTATGTGGGCTGTTGGCTGTGTTCTGCAGTCTGACTTGGGTGATGGTTAAGTGGGTCTTTGCTTTATAAACATTCTTTAAATTATATGTGTTTATATTTTCTTTTGTGCAATTTTTAAAGTTTTCCTAAAATTTAGGCTAACTCCAGTAGGTTAAAAACAACAAATACTCTATAAGGAGTGGTTCTGACTTGCTTCCTTAAGAGACTTGAGCTAGTCTCCATCTTCCTTTTCTTCCCTTTTTTCTTCCTAACAGGTTGCCAACTGCTAAATCCAATTGGCTATTATTTAACTTGACCACATCACAGACCACTGTCTTGAATCATAGGTTCTAATACTGCCAACTACTCCACCCTCTTGAAAATTGCTACTTTCTCAATATACTCCTTCCTGGGTTCCTCCCAACTCTGTCAATTCTTTTTAACAACTTTTTCACAGACTCCTCCTTCTCCTCCCCCATCCCCACCATATCAGTGGATCTCAATTTTTTTTTGCCACACCTTGAGTTAAGCAGGATCTTAGTTGCCTGACCAGGGATTTAACCTGTACTCCCCACCACAGCAATGGAAATGTCTTAACCACTGGACTCCCAGGAAGTCATTGGACTTCAAATTTTAGCACACATTATGAATCACTTGAGGAAGTAGCTTTAAAATGTAGATTTGCAGTTCCTACTCCAAGAAATCTTAATTCATTCTCACTTAGAGATTCCCAGGAACCTGTAGTTTTGAAGAAGCAGTCCAGGTAATCTAGTAGAACTCAGGACATACTTTGAGAAACACGGCCTTAAATGTTGGTATCTCCTAGCACTGGGGATTTGGCTCTATTATCTGTCACTGCAAACCTGGGGTCCTTAACCTTTGGCTCAGAGGATCTGTGAAACAACCCCCTTCCTCCTCAAATTGTACATACACTTTATATATATATATGTATGTATATGTATATACACACACACACACACACACAGTGGCATATATGCATTTTTTTCTGGAGAGCCATGGCTTTCATTATCTTCTAAAGTTTGTAAAAAGGTTAAAAACCACTCCTCTCCTCCCTCTTACTACCAATTTCACCCACATCCACAGACTGAACCACTACTCACATCTCAATGGCTTCCAGTGCTGTATCAGTGGCCCAGAATTTTCTCCAAACCCTCATCCAACTGTCTGCTGCACATTTGCCTCCGGATGCTCCACAAACACCTCCAACTCAACTTGTACAAAATAAACACATCATCTGCCCCCAACCATTCAATGTTCTTCTACTCAATTCACTCCATCAACCACTCAGGCGTCCAGAAAATCCGAGAGCTATCCTGAAGTCCTTCCTCTTTCCCGCTCCACATCCCTCACCCATCCTCTCCCTCCTTACTACAATGCCCTAATTTAGGCCTTCACCAGTTCTCAGGGGCAGTATCTTCCTAATTGATCTCCTCAACTCATGACACTGCCTCCAATCCGTGCAACACACCACTCCCTCTCTTGTTTTAACATTCTCTACCAGCTCACTGCCTTCTCTGTAAAATGGAAACGACGCTGGTGTGCAAGGCCTGCCCTAATCTGACGTCTGCTTGCATTCCCATCTCGAACCACGCCCGGTGACTCAGTTTCCCCAAAAGCTTCGCTCTTCCACCTTCATCATTCGGCATGCTATTCCCTGACGGTCTGTAGCATTCTCCTCGGCACCGCAGTGCCTGGCACAATGCCCGGCCAGGAAAGACCCAGCGCTTGCTGAATGGCTGAACAGATGGTGGACCGAGTGAGTTATGGGGAGAACCTCGGAAGTGCCCGCGAGGCACGAAAGAGCCTTCCCGTTGGTCGCTCTGACGCTCCTCACCAGCTGCCGGTCGGCCACGGTTCGGTCCGGGACGAGGCTGTACACCTGGCTCCTCAGCGCGATGGGGGGTAGCGCATCCTCAAACAGGACTCGCGGGAACAGCCGCACTATCTCTGCGACTGCCGCTCGCGCAGATCCTGGGCGAAGAGACCGAGTCACTGCGACGTGAACCGAGGCGGGGGAAGCGGGGGTACCACACTGGGGCGCTGTTGTCTCAACATACAAGGTTACCAGAGGCGAGGCTGCTGCCAGCTGGGGTCTTTAGCCTCGCCCCGGGGTTGCCATGGTTACCTGACTCGCCCCGCAAAGGATCTGCCTCTACATCCCCTAGTTCCCGCCGCCTCTTCAACCCAAAGTTCTCCGGGACCAGGCGATGCCTCTTCCGGCTCATATCCCGGGATCTTTGGGCGGCGGGGAAGAGGTAGAAAGCTGTTGAGGGACGGGACCACGAAAATAGTCTTCCGGCACAGCGCAGTGACGTACGAGCCCCCTGGGCGTCCCTCCTCGGAAACCAATCAACCCGATCATTCGTAGCTGAAGTGCTGACGAAAGAAGCGTTGACTTGTCATCCCTCCGCCCCTTGCTGGGAGGGGCGGTGCCAATGCCAACACCAGCGCCATCCTCATTGGCCGAGACCCCACGTCCGCTGCTGATTGGCTTCCTCTGAGAGCGCTCACGTCCGGGGACGCCTGGGCGCTGCGGAGGGGAGCGGGTGGCCACGCTGGGATCTCCCTCCGGGCGTAAAGCGCACAGCCCCCTCCCGCCACCTAGGGGGATAGGCCGCCTCTGTCGCTGAGTGATTGCGTCATCGACAGCGGAGACAACTGCCCTCATATCTCTTTGACATATGATGTACCTGCCATGACGTCATAGCGCTGAGAAGGTAGAAGTCGAGGTTGGCAGGATTTGAGGTAACCAGATCCTTGACCTGAGCCCAAGCATCCTTCCTAACCTCTCTGGTTTGGAGCTACTGGGGTTGGGAGTATATAGGTCAAGGGAAAAGGTGGCATGCGCACCTGGTGGGGTTCAGTTTGAGGACACGGGGCTTGCATGTTTCAAGGCCAGACTCGCTTAGTCCTGACTCGAAGTCCCTCTTTTCCAGCCCTTCTTTTAAAGGGGGAACTTCCTTGTCCCCTCTCAGGACCTCATGGAGTCCAGAGGGACCAAGAGAGAAGCTGGAAAGATAGAGGTCGCTGAGCCTCGGAACAAGCTCCCCCGCCCAGCACCCTCCCTGCCCACAGACCCCGCTCTCTACTCTGGGCCCTTTCCTTTCTACCGGCGCCCTTCCGAATTGGGCTGCTTCTCCCTGGATGCACAGCGCCAGTACCATGGAGATGCTCGCGCTTTGCGGTACTACAGCCCACCTCCCACCAATGGTCAAAGCCCCAACTTTGACCTCAGAGACGGATACCCTGATCGATACCAGCCCCGGGACGAAGAGGTCCAAGAGAGGTTGGACCACCTGCTACGCTGGCTCCTGGCCCACCGAGGCCAGCTAGAGGGGTGAGCAAAGCATAGCACACGGTAGCCCTAGAGGCCTGCACTCACCCTCTAAAATTGGGAGAGCCAAAGCTGGAGTGAGTCCTTATCTTACCCTATGCTTTAGGGAAGCCATCTGCACTAATGCAGGTATCAGATCTTCAGCCCCTAAATCCTCCTTCTCAGGGGTCCAGGCTGGCTGGCAGGGGCCATAGTGACGTGGCGGGGGCACCTGACAAAACTGCTGACGACACCATATGAGCTGCAGGAAGGCTGGCAGCTGGCAGCCTCCCGGTTCCAGGGGACGCTTTACTTGAGTGAGGTAGAGACGCCGACTGCTCGGGTTCAGAGGCTTACCCGGCCACCGCTTCTCCGGGAGCTTATGTACATGGGGTACAAATTTGAGCAGTACATGTGTGCAGGTGAGAGTTGCCCTGATTCTGGGGCCCCCTCCCCTATCCCCAGAGATTGAGAGACTCCAGCCCTTGCTGCTGTTTCTCTCCTTGTGCAGATAAACCCGGAGTCTCCCCAGATCCCTCTGGGGAGGTTAACACCAACGTGGCCTTCTGCTCTGTGCTACGCAGCCGCCTGGGAAACCACCCTCTTCTCTTCTCCGGGGAGGTGGACTGCACAGACCCCCAGGCCCCATCCACACAGCCCCCCACCTGCTATGTGGAGCTCAAGACCTCCAAGGAGATGCACAGCCCTGGCCAATGGAAGAGCTTCTACAGGTTCAAGACGGGGGTGGACAGGATGAGAACCTTGGATGAAAAGCTTGGCAAGAGACTTGGGGAAGGAAGAGGTTGGAGGGTGGAGGAGGGGTCCCACTGACCCCCTTGCCTTTCCTGACAGACACAAGCTCCTGAAATGGTGGGCCCAGTCGTTCCTGCCAGGCGTCCCAAATGTTGTTGCTGGCTTCCGTAACCCGGAGGGTTTTGTCTGTTCCCTGAAGACCTTTCCTACCATGGAGATGTTTGAATATGTCAGGGTAAGGCAGTGAGTTCCCACCTGCATCCCGCTACCCCAACATCACAGGTCCATTGTCCAGGGACCTGCAGCCCACCTTCCCCTTCAACCCTCACCGCTGGTCTTCTGCCTCCTCCTGGGCTTTCTCCAGAATGACCGTGACGGCTGGAATCCCTCCGTGTGCATGAACTTCTGTGCCGCCTTCCTTAGTTTTGCCCAGAACACAGTGGTTCATGATGACCCCAGGTGAGGCATTCAGTTCTGCCCCTCCCCTCTGGGGCCCAGAAGCTCATCCAGCCCTCAATTCAGAACTCTATCTGCCCCCCAGGCTTGTCTACCTCTTCTCCTGGGAGCCCGGTGGCCCTGTCACAGTGTCTGAACACCGAGACGCACCCCACGCCTTCCTGCCTCCATGGTACGTGGAAGCTGTGACCCAGGACCTCCCGTCACCCCCCAAGACACCCTCCCCCAAGGACTGATGCTTCACAGGGGCTGGTCCTATTTCTGTGTGCACAGATAAAGGTGTATTTCCAAGTGGCTCTCCCTGCTGTGTCTTTTGAGCTGAGTCATCCCTGCCCAACACTTCAGGTTCACACAGAGGGTTTGCAGTTTTATTGTTACAATATAGCCAGGGGCCAGTCACTGGGTGTAGAGGCTGGCAGCAAAGACAATGTCCCTCCGTAACAGGGTGGCTGCTGTCTCCATCTTGGCACCTAGCACAGGTTCGCCCACCAGGCGGGCCGCTCCCCGAAGTGAGCGACACATCTCAGCCAGGCGTTGGATGCAGCGGACCACCAGGCCCTCAGGGGTCCCTGAGAGCCCTGCCAACTCAGAGAAGGGCTGTGGGAGAAGCAGGGTGGGGACTGAATACGGTGGGCCGGGACAGCCTCTCCCCAGCTGGCTGTCCACAAAGGCCCCAAACCCCAGCTACTCACCATGCCCCGGGCCCACTCGTACACAACCTCAACCAGCCCAAAATTCAGCTCCCCCACAAATTCCTCCACGGTCTGGTTCAAGCCACAGGCCGCCTGGACCTCACCAATCCGCTTGGCCACAGTCCGGACCCGTTCCACTCCCTGCAGACAGAGAGGAGAGGCTCTAAGCCCTGCCTTCCTGCTCCAGGAAGAAGGCCGGGATGAAAGAAGAAACCATTCCAGCTCTTAGGGACACTCAGGGGGCACCTGGGGAACACGTGGGGATGGACTGGGAATGCCACGGCTGAGGAAGGGAGGGGTCCTGGCCGTCATCCCCATACCTGTTTGAGGGTGCTGGGGAGCTGATCGCCAGGGTCCCCAGGGCTCTGGCAGACCAGGCCGGAGAGCAGGGCAGCGATCTCCTCAGGCCGCAGGGCGCTCAGTGCATTGTCGAACATCAGCTCGGTGAGGAGCAGCTCGTGGCTGCTCATGGCGCAAGCCACCCGCCCAGCCAGCTTCACGGTGCCCGCCTCATCCACATACCCCAGGGTTCGGAGCACCTGCAAGGATAGTGGGTGTTGGGAGCCGGCAGACGGCTTCCCCGCCAGACCCCCAGCCCAGCCCAGCCCCCCACCTCTACTCGCTGATGGTACTCAGGGAGCAGCAGCAGCGACTGGTCAGACAGCAGGAAGCGCAGCCGCTCCATCTCTTTCTGGATCTGCATTCGCTCCCGCAGCTTCAGGTACTGCAAGGAGGCAAGGGCAGGGACTCCTGAGCCTCCTCCCTGACCTCAGCAGGGGAGCTGAGGACCAGGGCTGGGACAGGGGTGGCCAGTCTGCAGGGGATGACAGGGAAAGCCGTCACACCAGCAGGGAAGCTCACATCGAGGGACCCACCTGGGCAGGGAAACGGGGACTGTGCACACACTGAGCCCCCCGGATCAGCTCCTCCAGCTTCCGGGCCCGGAGCCCCCCCTCGACCACAGACACATCCTTGAGCTGCAGGTCATTGACAGGGTCGAGGGTGGGGGGTCCTGTGGGGTGCGCCTGAGCCAGTCGTAGCAATTCCTGGACAGCAGTGGTCACGGCCGCAGAGGGCGGATCCTTCCTGAGGATGGAGCTGGCCTTAGACCTGAGGCAGAGGCTTCTCTTCCTGCAGAGCCCCTCTCGGGCTGGGGGAGCCTCCCCAACCACACCTCCCACCACCCCCACATGGTCCCTCCCCAGCATCTCTGACTTGAATTTTGGTTGCTGCCGCTTGCTGAAGTCCTCCACGATCTTGTCCCCATTCAGCCGGAGCATCTTGGTGGTGATGGCGGCCACATCTCCTGGCTGGAGCTTGGCCACAGTGTGGTCACAGGGCCCTGAGAAAAGGGGAGAGCAGGGTCAGACCGGGCACCTCAGCTGAGCTGTTGGCAAGAGCCCGGGCATCCGTCCACTCTCACCTTCAGGCAGGAACAGCTTGAATCCCACGAGGTCTTCTGGGTAGGGCACGTCTGGGGAGGCTGGCCCCCTCTCCCGTGGGTCCTCAGACACGGTCTTGTCACACAAGACCAGGGCTGTGAATACCCTGCTGGTGGAGTTGGAAGAGACCTAGGAGAGGTGGGGAGGCCAGGCCAGGCCAGGGTGAGGAGCGGACATCCAAGAAGAGACCAGATCCCCCACTTCAGGCAGGGAGCATGGGACGGCCATACAGACTGGTAACCAAGTCAAACAATCGGAGCAGACTTTGGGGGCAGGGCTTGGGGGGAGGATGAGGAGATGAGCATGAAGTGGTAGGGATGGGAAGGAAAGGAGGGCTCGAGGGAAAAATGAGGGCACTGCCGAGTACAACTGGCTCCTCGCCAAGTGGGGAAGATGGAGATGGGGCTGGCTGCTCCCTCTGGCCTTGGAGTCCGGATTCCCATCGCCCTCACCTGAAGGATCACACCCAGTGCGTTGTGATGCTCCTGATTCTTCACAACCACCACCCTTCCCGCTGAGAGAGATTTCAGCCCATTCACAGACTCTATGATGCGGTGCTGAAGAATAGGGATGAGAAGGGGATAAGAAGTGTCACAGAGATGCTGGGACGAGGTTCAGGTGTACCCAGAACGTCCCAGGTTCTTCCTCCCCGTCCCATCACTTGGCCCCCAACACTCA